CCCGCCAAACCAACTAGAGCTACTATGGCGTCTCGTCTCACACGCATGTTCTCCAGCTCGGGGAAAAACTCCCCCAGAGAGCATCATGAAGGTCATCGTGATCTATCTGATAGTAGCTTAGAAAGTATCCAGCCTCTCAACGGCAGGACCTCAAAGCCATCATCTCGACCTGCCTCCAGACCTCCTTCTAGACCTCCTTCAAGAGGAGAAAATTCTCGAACACCATCACGAAACCCGTCACTTAAGAATGAGCATGTGGAGAAGACTGACAAGAAAAAGATGGATGATAAAAAGACCAAAGACGGAGCTCCAGTCCATAAGCGATTTGAGGTTCTGACGGAAGCTCTCGGCAATCACTCCCATAACCTCAGAAGTGCTAGACGACAAGAAAAGCTTACCGATCTACTGCGGGATATGCTCGGTGGCCGCAAAAAGGACGACCACGTGGATGAGCAACAGCTATCGCTGATGTCGACCTGGATTGATCAGTTCAAGACGGAACGTGATAAGCTAGCTGCGGATAAGAAGGGTGGCCCCAATGCCACTGCTTCTCTGGTTGACAAGTACGGTAAGTGCCAGGAGATTGTGGGCCGTGGTGCTTTCGGTATCGTGCGCATCTCGCACAAAGTCGACCCTCAAGATTCCAAGTGTGAGCAGCTCTATGCTGTCAAGGAATTCCGCCGTCGGCCGCAAGAAACGACCAAGAAATATCAAAAGCGACTGACCTCTGAGTTTTGCATCTCATCCTCACTTCGTCACCCGAACGTCATTCACACATTGGACCTCTTGCAAGATGCCAAAGGAGATTACTGTGAAGTCATGGAGTACTGCGCCGGTGGCGATCTTTATACCTTGGTCCTTGCTGCTGGCAAGTTGGAGGTCGCTGAAGCCGACTGCTTTTTCAAGCAATTGATGCGAGGTGTTGAGTATATGCACGAAATGGGTGTCGCACACCGCGATCTCAAGCCCGAAAATTTGCTTTTGACCACTCACGGTGCACTCAAAATCACCGACTTTGGTAACGGCGAATGTTTCCGCATGGCGTGGGAGAAGGAAGCTCACATGACCGCCGGACTTTGCGGTTCTGCTCCATATATTGCCCCGGAGGAATACGTCGAAAGGGAATTTGATCCCCGAGCGGTTGACCTCTGGGCCACTGGAGTGATCTACATGGCTATGCGCACCGGACGGCATCTTTGGCGCGTCGCGCGCAAGGACGAAGACGAATTTTACCAGCGGTACCTGGACGGTCGCAAGCATGAGGATGGATACGCTCCAATTGAGACGTTGCATCGGGTAAGAACAGCTAATTCCCTTTCTGCAGCTGCAGGGCAAAGACTCATGACTTCTCAGGCTCGTTGTCGCAACGTGATCTACTCCATCCTTGATCCTAATCCTTCTCGCCGTATCAACGCCTCACAGGTTCTCAAATCCGAATGGGTACGCCAGATCAAGCTGTGCAAGGCTGGCGAAGAAGGATTCTGATTGTTTCAACACAAAAATCAGGTGTCGAGGTCACAGGCCCACTCCTCAAGGTTTGATAGCACCAAAACTATCAATTTACGTTTGCATCACAGGGTGGTTATTTATCATAGACCCATTCGAGGAGAGGCTTCCTGATTTTCATCCTTCGAATGCTCCTAAACTAGAAGGAGGCCCTTTACGAAGATTTTTTTTTGGCCTTTCTGTTCGTTTTATCCTGTTTGTTGGCTCCGGCGCATTTACTTTGTATCCCCCTCAGCCTCTTCAGCCTGTGCTCTATTATATCGATCCATCTTTTAGCTTGTCTCTTTGTCTGGATCCTCATGTCTTCAACGTCAATGCAACGAAGAATCATGACCCTTTTCTTTTGATCCGGTTTTCCTTTACGATTCGGAGTTTCTTCTCGTCCGGTTTTCGCGTTATGGGGCTTCGGCAGATACCTTCAAGTTTCTACGGCGTTGGCGGGCAATTCCCCATTTGAGCTTTTCTTTCCCTTGTACCACTATGATGAGCCCAGCTTTCAGCGGGCGAATACCGGCATTCTCACTTGGGTTGTGGGTCCTAGTGTTCCTGGAGGTTCTATGATTGTAGGCAGAGGCTGCCCGCAACAGCAACAGGATCAGGAACAGGAATACCTGAGTGAGATGTGTCACATTGGAGGTTGTCTGAACCTTTTTTGCTTTGACTTTTCGTTACGTCGGATTATAGTACATATTCTTGATGCTTTTGTATATATACGACTTAGGCATTTTGAATTCTGTTGTATGTGACTTGCTTCCACGTAGCAAGGTGCGCATTATCTCAGCAGATCAGGTTTGGCTCAAGGTCTATTTCCTCTACAACAAAAAGACTTGACTCGACCTCCAAGTTCACAATCTACAGCCCCCCAGCACTATGACATCAATCCGAAGATCGGCACCTCTCGGACCCAATGCGAGATCCACTAAGTGTCACCGAGACGATCAGCGCGGTAGATTAGGCCCGATATCTTTTTAATATACCTGTGATATCACTCAGTCTGTATCTTCCGATCACCGATCATTGTCCATGCACTCTACGCTAGAAAAACACGAGGCCCCCAATACTCTGATGCAATCGAGTGTCATATACCCGACTAGCGAGGTCTAATTATTCTCACATGCATCTTCTCGCTAATAACTGTACATACCTTAGGTCTGTATGCAATTCGGTAACATATGCAGCTAAAATGGTGGATTCCTACTCTGCAACATCCGTTACCCGGACACCAAGCGCCGGCCAAAAAAGAAAAACTCGAAACTCTAGGCATTTGTAATTTCGTTCACACATTTGCACTTGGCGCTTGTCATATAATTGCCAAGAATCGCACATAACACAGCTACTTAGGCATCAACATTACAGCCTAGGCGAAGTGGATAAGAATACCTCAATATGCACATACCATGTCGGTGTGTTGCAGTGGATGCAAGAACCAGTCTCACACTTATCGTATTGAAGGGGTCATTTTGTTGAGAATGGGTTTCCATTATCTGTTGATTGCTCGCCTACCAGCGTTAAAGCGGCTAGATGCAGCTGGTTGGGGTAGGGAATGTCACAACATAATACCGATAAACATTATATACACTCTATACCTTGACATCATTTACCTAGTGTTACCAGCTCATGTATCTTTGTAGAAAGACAAGAGAAAAAAAGCCCCCTGAACTGGCCCTCGCAGAACCTGAACAATGCAACGCTATAGACTCCAGCCCTACCAAACATGACGTAGCTGCATCCGGAAATCATGACATAAGCATCAGCCACACACGCACAGCCACCTAAACCCGTAAGGCAGATCAAATCGGCCACCCTTGGCATTGGGTTTGGAACCTCCACGATCGGTCCTACAGCTAAACACTGCAGAGTCTTATCAGCTGGTGTCAAGTGCAATCATCCTCTTGCTTCGATTTCACACCCGATTACACCTTACAACCCACACAGACTCGAATTTGATTCCCATCTCCGGGTCCTCCGAAGCACACCGCCACCATGTCTTGGGCAGGTACGCCTCATCCCCAAACCCTCGGACTCATCAACCGGTGCCAGTATGAGCAAATTTAACTGGATGGGTGGATAGGGTTCAAGAAGAATGTCAACCGTGCGACGACACAGGTGATGATGAAGACGGGTGAGTTCGTCGAGTTCTACCCCGCAATGAATCGAGAGAGGGCGATCGGATACGATCCTCGACGGAGATGCGCGCCACCCACTACAATTTACTTGCCGCGCCATATGGATGCGAATAGGATACTAAATTGATCATTGCATAGGTCATGTCGAGAGAACCAATGATCGTGATTATGAGATCGAGGAACGGTACGGTTGTCCTCGCTGCTACCTGTGGATGGTTATACCGGGACTGGAACTGGAGCTAATGTTGCGCATCACAGGCGGTACCGGACTATGGAGACTGCTGCGAATCGGTTGCAGAAGGAGGCAAAGGGATATCTGGATTCACTACGAGGTTGGTGACCTTTTGTTTTGTGGATGTTGGATCTGGTTGTCCAGTTGGCTGACTCTTCCCAGCCATGACGGCGTCCCAAATGCGCATTGCGGAGACCATTGATGCCTTCTACGGCGATGCGGGAACAAAAGATGGTGTCAGCCGGAGTTACAAACAGGCTGTTGAGGATCTTGATGCCGAGACCATCAAAGCTCTGGATGGGCCATACCGGTAGGAGATTTCTGTTTTACTGACGAACCAACATGGGCAGCGCTGACAGAAGCCAAAGTACCACCGTCCTCGACCCCATCTCCCGATTCTGCGCCTACTTCCCTGATGTGAATGAATGCATCAAGAAACGCAACCACAAGCTACTAGACTACGACGCCATGCGCGCCAAGGTCAAGAAGCTCGCCGAGAAGCCTGACAAGGATGTTACCAAGCTGCCGCGGACCGAGCGCGAAGCCGAGATGGCTAAGCAGGCATACGAGCAACTGAACGAACAGCTCTTCAACGAACTCCCCCAGCTTATCGACTTGCGTGTGCCCTACCTCGACCCCAGTTTTGAAGCTCTCGTCAAAATCCAGCTGCGCTTCTGTGCCGAGGCGTATTCCCGTATGGCGCAGGTCCAGCAGTATCTCGATGCCGAGACTCGTGACCAGTATGCCAGGGGTGATCTGGATAACCGCGTTGAGGAGGTGCTGCAGGAGATTCGTGATTTGAGCATAGCCGGAACCGTTTAATCTGTTCCTTTAATCGATTACTTTATTAGCATAATGCCGGATATTTCTTTGCTGCGCTGAGATCTGTGCAACAGACTCGTGCATTTTTCCCCTTTGTTTCTGTCGAGAAGATATCGGCAACAATTTCCATGGCGTTTTCAATGTATATGATTAATACATGAGCTAACTTGACACATTGCTCGTCATCACTTTTTTCAATTCCATGCCCTCGCCTGCGAATATGAAGCAATCACATATAACTAACAATTCTAATGGGAAGGGGGGTATTATTGTACTCCAACATCCGTAATATACACATCACCAAAGATCAAGGATCAAACCTTCCCAGCAGGTCTAAGAAGCTCATCCCGAATGGTACCCACCACAGGCATCGCCGCATCATGATAAGCCTTGAGCTCCTTATCAGTAACAGTCTTCAGCACATAATCCGAAACAGCCTTCGTCTCATGTGACGTGGGACGTCCAATCCCAAGACCAATCCGCAAGATCGACAAATCCGCCAACGGCCCGGGACCACTCTTATTCCCCGACGAGCGCGGATACAATCCCTTCTTCCGCAACGTCTCACAGATACTAATGAGACCACGATGACCGCGCAAACTAAACGACTCAGGCCCGCCGCGTACGACGCGCACTTTGCCTTGAGCGATAGATAGCTCATCGTGGAGGATGACTAGTGTTGTGGGGTATGTAGTTTGTGCGGGGATAGATGAAGTTGAAGACGAGGCGCGAGTTGCGACGGCGATTCTTTCAAGACGGTTCGCTCGTTCCGTTGCCCATTGTTCTAGTCTGCGGACGAGTCTCGGGCCTGATTCGTTCATGTAGGCTGGACTTTTCCAGGTTTCGTGGTAGAGGCCTGTGTTTGGCATTGTGGTTTCGAGGAGGGGTTTTAAAGCGTCGAGGAGGAGGTGGCCGGCGCTGTGGCGGGTCTTTTGGTAGGGGGCGGGATTACCTATTGAGGCTATGAAGAGGAGGCGGCGGGGGAGAATTTCCATATTTGCGGGAGGATGTTTGGGGTATGATGTATGTTGTATATTGTACCTCTGGATGTATGTATTCTTTTTTTTTTCTTTTTCTATCATTGGTTCAGGTACGGGAGATCGTCTCGTGACTTTGCTGATATCGGCGATAAGGAATTTCTTATCTCCGTGTTTATACATCAGGTTCAAGGTGGTTCGGTCTTTGTTTTGACTGATCAAATATGTCTGGGATGAGCTCGAGTCAATCCATCTTCATTGAACAATACAATATTGGAGTGCAACAGTCCGAAAGCTCGGGGTATCAGCCTGACAAATTCCAGTCAATAAGAGTGACTTCGAAGTCTGCGTCGTAGATCTGTCTTTGCTCCACCGTTATGTTCTTCGGCTGCAGATCTCCATAGTTTAAAATTGTTCGTATACTGAGGGCATTAGTCGATGCCTCAATCCCTGCAACGATTGGTAGGTCAATGGTCGAATGCATCCAAGGTGTCTTGTTGGTGAAGATGGAATGAATCAGAAAGGAAGCACAGCCACGTCATGTGACGAAATACCATCAACCTCGTACGTTTGGGAATGGACGAAGAGCTAATGAATGTCTTTGTATGAGTAACCAATCCAGGAGCCAGTGGGGCATTTATAGTTCGTAGAGTACCTAGGTATAAATGGCCATGGGAGGTTTGTAGGATACGTGAATTTTGTCCATTGCAATGAAACCAGACAAGCTTTTGGATATAACTCCCCTTGAACCCCATGCAAAACCAAGAAAAAATAACATAGAGAGATATTTACAGTTGGAACAGAGTTCTCGTCTTCTCCATTCCACCCTTCCATTCCCACTCCTGTCCACTGGCACGCTGGATGCCCTTATCAACACGACGAAGCTTCAAAGTGAAGCGAGGTCCTAGTTCTTGTAGACCGGTACGAATACCCTCAACACCTGCCATTTCCTTGCCGTCAGCACCGACAACAGCCTTCTCAGTCTCACGCTTCTCACGGAAGACATAGCGGTGACGACGGACGAAGATGTAATCACGCTGATTGTGCAAGGTTACAACTTGTCGGCCCTCGAAATCTGGCTGAGGCGGGAAGAGTGAACGGAACAAATGCGCAGTCAAAAGACCGAGAGGAGTACGGAAGTTGTTGAGGATCAGTTCGGGCCAGTGCTCGGTGGCTTTGCCGTGTCCTGGAAGACGCTTTCCATCGATCCAGTTGCTGATGGTAAAGTGGAAAGTTGGGCCGACTGGCAAGTGAACTATTGTTAGCCCAGAGGGCTTCTTCTGGTCTTCGTTCAACACGACGACTGTCGTGAAGTTACGGTTTGCGGCGAATTTGGAAATCTCGCGGATGGAGAATTTGTGCGAGTACCGGTGTGCGTTACGTCGGATATACACGCTGTTCGGGAAGATCTCGGTCAGGGTCTCGGCTTGGGCGTGAAGGGTAGAGTTAAGGCCGGTGGTGATAAGGATTTTCGGGGTGGGCGGGGGTCCCTCGGTGAAGAGTGTAGGGAATTTCGCAGCCAATGCTTCAGGAGCGAGACTGAGGTTTGTGCTGCGTGTGGACTGGGTAGGACTTGTGGCACGCTCTGTCGCAGTTGGAAGGGTGGACTTCTTCTGGCCACCGCTGGCTTTTTTGTCTTCGTCCTCCTCCTCCTCATCTTCACTGTTGTCTGATTCGAGCATACTGTCGACTGACTCATTATCAGACTCCGGAGCCTCACTGTCATCCTCGCCCTCTTCAAATGGTCGGTTGAGCTCGTCGTCTTCTTCTTTCTTGGCGCGCTTGATGCGCTCAACATCAACGCTCAATCCCAGACCAGTTTCTTCGGTGTCGTTATCGGGTTCGTTCCAAACACGCTTCCGCTCAAGGGTCAGAGGGATATTGCGGCGAAGTCGCTCTTCCTTCAATTTGGGGTTCTTTTGTTCTTCTTTCTTGAAAGCGTAGCGCTCCTCTCGGCGCGCAGCATCTTTGGCTCTCTTGCGCTTGACATGGTTCATCTTTCGGCGAATCTTATTGGCGGTTTTCATATCACCCATGACGCCCGGAGGCGGTCCTGATCGACCAATGGGACCCATTTTTGAAAGCTGAGAGGGTAGATTGCTGCTGTTGAAGGTCAATGGAAAATGTAAAGATCGCCGAGAAATAAATTATTTCGGACAATTGTTTCCCCGGACCGCTAATCTGGCAATTCGACCTTGTGACTTGGAGACCTCCTTTTGAGAAGGAAAATAAATAAAAAAAAGGAAATAGGAAAAAGAGGCCAATTGGTTGCTCTCATTCATTCTATACCCCCCTGTCCTTTATCCTCTCGGTGGTGCCTGAGGGGCTGCATAGTGGATGACTCAATTGCCGCGTCTGCGATTTCCCCCCCGCTCTTTTCTTTCCCCTCCGTCTTTCTTTCGGACTCAGTTTAGGACCTACACACCTCCCCCGAAGACCTCGAAACGAAACGCCAAGATGGCCACCGTCAACACCAAGACTGGCCAGTCCATCGACCGGACGGTGCTGGACTCCATGCTCCGCCGCCGCATGTTCTACACCCCCTCCTTCGAAATTTACGGTGGTGTCTCTGGTCTGTATGATTATGGCCCACCTGGAACTGCCCTGATCGCCAACATGACCGACTTGTGGCGCAAGCACTTCGTGCTCGAGGAGGACATGCTTGAGGTCGACACCACCATGTTGACCCCCCACGAGATTCTCAAGACCAGTGGTCACGTCGACAAGTTCGCCGACTGGATGTGCAAGGACCCCAAGACTGGCGAGATCTTCCGTGCCGATCACTTGGTTGAGGAAGTGCTCGAGGCCCGCCTCAAGGGAGACAAGCAAGCGCGCGGCGAGAAAGTTGTTGTGGACGAGGAGAAGGAGGCCAAGAAGAAGAGAAAGGCCAAGGGCACTGAGGCCAAAAAGCTGGATGATGCCCTTGTCAAGGAGTACGAGGAGACCCTCGCACAGATTGACAACTATGGTGGCCCTGAGTTGGAGCAGCTCATCAAGAAGCATGACATCCGCAACCCCGTCACCGGCGGCGAGGTGCTGCCTCCGGTCTCCTTCAACCTCATGTTCCAGACCTCCATTGGCCCCAGCGCCAACATGCCTGGCTACTTGCGTCCCGAGACCGCCCAGGGTCAATTCCTGAACTTCGCTAAGCTTCTGGAGTTCAACCAGCAGTCGATGCCTTTCGCCTCTGCCTCCATTGGCAAGTCGTTCCGTAATGAGATTTCCCCGCGTGCGGGTCTCCTTCGTGTCCGCGAGTTCCTTATGGCCGAGATTGAGCACTACGTCGACCCAGAGGGTGGCAAGAAGCACGTTCGCTTCGATGAAATCAAGGATACTGAGCTGTCTTTGCTCGACCGTAACGTACAGCTGTCCGGAAGCACCAAGCTGACCAAGATGACCATCGGCAAGGCCGTTGAGAGCGGACTGGTCGATAACGAAACTCTGGGTTATTTCTTGGCCCGCATTCAGTCCTTCCTGTTGAAGCTTGGTGTTGACCCCACCAAGCTGCGCTTCCGTCAGCACATGGCCAATGAGATGGCTCACTACGCTACTGACTGCTGGGATGCCGAGTTGCAGACCAGCTACGGCTGGATCGAGTGTGTCGGCTGTGCTGACCGCTCCGCTTACGATCTGACTGTTCACAAGGACAAGACTGGTGCCCCTCTCGTGGTGCGCCAGGCCCGTGCTGAGCCTCTGCGTATTGAGGAGTACCAGATTGACCTCGAGAAGAAGAAGTTCGGTCCCCGATTCAAGAAGGATGCCAAGACTGTCGAGGCAGCTATCGACGCTCTGTCCCAGGAGCTGCGCGAAAAGTTGTCTCTTGACCTCGAGAAGAATGGCAAGATTGAGGTCGATGTTGAGGGTGTTGGATCTGGTAAGGTCGAGATCGAGAAGGACTTGATCAAGATTGAGAAGCGTACTCGTGTTGACAATGTCCGCGAGTACACCCCCAACGTCATCGAGCCCTCCTTCGGTATTGGACGTATCTTGTACAGTATGATTGAGCACTCCTACTGGTCCCGCGCCGGTGACGAGACTCGTGGTGTAAGTCCTCCTTGTGATTTTTGTCCCTGACGCTGGTACTAACTAAATTCTTTAGGTCCTTTCTTTCCCCCCGCTGTTGCCCCCACAAAGGTCCTGCTGGTTCCCCTCTCCACTCACGCCTCCTTCAAGCCTCTGACCCAGCGTCTGACTTCGAAGCTGCGCAAGGCCGGTGTCTCCAACCGTGTCGATGACTCTTCTGCCAGTATCGGTAAGCGTTACTCCCGTAACGACGAGCTGGGCACACCCTTCGGTATCACTGTGGATTTCCAGTCCGTTCAGGACAACACCTTCACCCTGCGCGACCGCGATACCACTAAGCAGGTCCGTGCCAGCGAGGACGAGATTCTGCAGGCTGTCAAGTCGCTTGTTGAGGGCGACGAGACATGGGAGGATATCCGCAAGCGCCTGCCTGAGTTCACTTCCCAGGAAGTCGAGGCTTAGAACGCTTAGATCGCATGATAAAAATACTATTTACTTTTTTTTCCTTTAATCTTGTTTCGATATCAATCAAAATAGTCCCATCTTAGATCTATACAATATAGTTTTCGCACGCTCGGCACGGCATGCCCAGCCCAGATCGGGCCACGCCAAGAATCCGGGGGACCTCCGTCATCTGTCCTCTTTCCACTTTGCTTTGTCAACAACAATGGCCCCCACAGTTCACTCAGCCAAATTGACACTGTCATGTCCGCTCTTCGCTGCGGACTTTGACCCGCGCGACAACGGTCGACTTTTAGTCGGCGGCGGAGGCGGCGAGGGGCGTAGCGGAGTTGGAAACAAGATCGCAAGTCCCACTATTTCAAGAAAATCCCCCATGTTGACGCCGAATTGCTAATTGTCGCTCTCTATATAGTCCCTTATTGACACATCGCGTCGTGACGAGATCACCGAGGCTATCGAATTGAACCTATCGCGCGATGAAGACTCAGTAACCTCGCTGGTTGCGGCCCCGCTGACTAGCGACGAGGCGGACTCGCTTGTTGCTCTGGCCGGTATCAATAGCTCCGTGGAACAGCAGAAAAACAATAACAATCAACATCTCCGCGCATTCCGATTCGAGGTGCCGCGAAAGACTACCGCTGTTGCTGCTTCGAATACACAGAACGCCGAAGAAAGTGAGAATGCCACAAAGGACAGCAACTCAGAGGTTATTCCCGGGAAGGCCATAGCTTTATCGCAAGCATCGCTCTTTCGAACGAAGAACGGGCCAGGATTTTCAGATACATACCAACGAGTGACGAGACTTTCGCCGTGGCCGAAAGAGAAGGATGGCACTGAGAAACAGGCACGGATCGGAGCCGTTGCCACGGGACTAGCACAATCCGGTGAGATTGTATTCTTCAGCGCCACAGAGACGCCCAGTGAGAAGGACATCATTGGCCGTATTCAATTAAGCAGCAATGAAGAGGCCGAGGATCTGGACTTTGTCGCCCTCGAACACGACTTGGAAAAGACCGACGATGCACACGGGCGGTTCCTTATGGCATATACGAACGGCGTAGACGTTATGGTGGGCGAGATCTCTTCTTCTACCCGCTCCAACAGCTCCCCCGACGTCCGCTCCGTTTATACCATTCCTCTGCCCGCCAGCGGAGCCCGGACACCACGGTCCAAGGTCCGCGCCCTGCGATTCCTCTCGCCCAGGATCCTACTCCTCCTCCAAAACGCCCCAAATCGAGGTGGTAGCGAGCTTGTTCTCCTTCAACTCTCCAATGCCAAAACGACCAAGTCCAAAATTCTGCGACGTCGCAAGCTCCCTCGAACCGTGAAGATCGGCCTAGGACTCGACATCTGCCAACTCGGAACAAACCCGCAAGGTCAACAACAAACCGTCATCGCAGTCAGCGGCAGCGACAACTCCATTCCTCTATTCACTCTAGAATACGGACCAAACCGCGGCTACAGCAACTTCCGCACCTACACAACCCTCCGCGACGTGCATCCCTTCTCAATGACAAAACTCACCTTCTCAAATTTCATCGCGCCCCCACACCCTGTAACCCCAGACGTCGGCCCGCAGAGCATAAAGCTCGCCTCCGTCAGCATGGGCAACACGGTCGTCGTACACACATTCCCACTATCCCCCTTCCCAACCTCATCCCGCACCCCCCCGCTACGTCCTCGTCACTCCAGGCCCCGCCGAGATCTGGGAACTAGTCTACAGCATTGTCATCCTCCTCTTCTCCATATTGGCAATCTGTCTAGCAATGCTCGCCTTCGCCGAGATCCGCGGCGGAACCCCGCCTATCCTCGGCGCCACAGAGTGGCTTCCAGATAGCATCCGCGGAGTTATCGCACGGGAATACGTCCTACCATCACGAGATCAGCTGACGTATTTTGATACACTTCTCGCACCGCGAGGAAGCGACAGTGATGTCGATATTCCAGCGGCGACCATTGTCCCCACAGACTCGCAGATCGAATCCCTCCGCGAAATCCTGGATCGCGTACACCGCGCCGGCGCCGCACCTGCTGATCTGGAACCCGTTGCGCCGCAGCCTCTTTCTGTTATTGTGCGGTGTGGTGCCGGACAGAATGCCGAGCAAAGCGTGATTATCGAGACAGCTGCGTCTGCGTCTGCGGACGAGTCCGAGCAGTCCGAGGAGGAGAAATTGCAGGCTTGGAAGGATCTTTCTGCGTCTGAGCAGAGTGCTTGGAAGCAGAGGCTTATCGATGCGGGGCGTTGGACAGTTTCTGAGGGAGAGAATGTCCTTATTGGAGTTCTGTTTAGTGAGGCTTGTGGGGGCTTGGGGAGGGCTGTGAGGGAGGGATTGCCTTGATTTCTTTTTTTTGGTGATGTATGAATTGTTGTATGTTAGTTTTACGCTTGTCAATGATATATTAAATCCTATTTATGTTCGTGTTACTCTTGCTACCAAAAACATCGAAAAGACGTGGAAAGATGGCGTGGTAGTGGTATCTTAAATGTGAGCTTTCTAGTATCTCTAGCTAACTGGATATCCTAAGTATCCTAAGCCCTTAGCCTAAACAAACAGCCGGCTATTCGTGCTCATGAAGTCAAGTTTAGGTCTTTGACTGTATGAGACGACCTCATATGGTTATATGAAGACATGCATTTGTTCAATATCCATGTGGATGACTGGCTGAGTACCTAAATACGGCACGGAGAGACCAATACGCCTGTTATAGTGCACGTCAAAGCCGGTTCTTCTGATTAAAGAAGTCGAGTCAAGTCACATCGGATTTTAAACTATTCTTCGCTTTTTGTGCAAGGGCACATAATACAGTGCAAGTTGCAGAATCATGAACGTCATAGGGGGAGGGAAACATGGTATGTGTTTTGTGCAAGCTTCGACAAGTTGGACAGAGGAAAAAAGAGAAAAAAGGGAAAAAAGGGAAAAACAGATCAAACGCCAAATTATCCACGCCTAGGGTTGTGTATGATAAGTGATGAAAGCAGAATGGCAATGATATCTCCAATGAAGAGTGCAGCAAAGGAGACGGAATAAGGCACACGGGAAGAGAGTATGTTCCTGTGAATGAAAGTGGGACATGGACATCTAAACGAAAACGCGTAAATGGGACCCAGGTGTTCTTGCTCCAAGTTGCGGTACATGAAGAGCAGAATGGAAACCTCGGTCATTCACTAGCGAGTCACTAGCCAGTAGCCTTCTTCCAGGTGAGCAGCTCAGCCAGACTAGCCAAACTGCATCCGGTCTGCAGGAATTCGTGGGCGAGGAGCTCGTTGGCGGAAGCGCGGCTGTGGACATTAACGCAGAGACAGACGCTCAAGAAAGACTTGAGCTCCTTGGTGAGCTTCTCGGGCTTCTTGAGGCGAGGGGTTCCGTTGGTGGCAATCAGGTAGAGGGCCTTCAGGGGCTCTTCGTTCAGGTAGGGAGGCTCCGACTCAATCATTTCGATGGCCATGATGCCCAGCGACCAGCAGTCAACCTTTGGGCCGTACTCCTTCTGCTTGACCACTTCGGGGGCCATCCAGTAAGGAGTGCCGACCATGGTGGCGCGCTTGCTCTTGTGTTCGGTCAGCTTGGCGCAGAAGCCGAAATCAGTGATCTTGACGTGGCCAACACGGTCGAGGAGGACGTTATCACTCTTGATATCACGGTGGATGATGCTCTGGTTGTGCAGATGGGCGAGACCCTTGCAAGTCTTTTCGCAGAAGGTTAGTAATGGGACGAAAACAACCATCTTGGGGGTGAGTTACATACCTCGGCACAGATAGTTGCGATTTGACCCTCAGTAATTACTGGATTGTTGTCAATTACATCAGTCAACGCACCGCCTTCCATGAATTCCATCACAACCCAAAGCTCATTGCTTGATTCCTGCAAGAATGAATCGAGGAAGTTGACAATATTCGGGTGCTGGCTGTCCTTCATAACAATAATCTCGTTGACGATCAACTCCTTGCGGGGCTGACTGCGCAGGTCCATCTGCTTGATGGCCACCTGGCAGCGTGGGCCATAGGTCCGGTAAAGCTCGTGGGCAACACCTGAAGGTGCGCTTTCCTTAACCCGTGCCACATACACGGATCCAGATGCACCCTGACCAATCTTGCGCTGTTTGCTGTAAGACTCGTTCGGGTTGTCCTTGGAGACAACAGACCTCAGCCGCTCCATGACCTCGTTCTCTGACATGGCCGACATGCGCACCTCCTTCTGGCGCGGCTGATCTGCCTTCTTGGTAAGAGCAGCTTCCGCTTGGCGAACACCATCGGGGACGTTCTGCTTGTTCCCGTTTTGCTTGTTGGCAATGTTCAGCGGTTTCACAGCTTGAACGGGAGCCGGCAGACGTGTCGGAGGGGGTCCGGCCTGTCCTTTGGAGCCGTTTTGCTGAGGGCGGTTAGCTGAGCCAGGGGCCCGAGGATCATTGGGAGGATAACGGGAGCTCGGAGAGCCCTGGCGGTCATCAGTCCGAGTAGTACCCGGTGCCCGGGGCGCACTTTGGCCGTAGGGACTCTGTGATGGCGGCGCGGGTGCGGGACGCTGTGCAGTGAGCTGCCGGGGGTCTTGCTGGCGAGCAGTAGAGCCTGGAGCCTGAGGGGCAGGGCGGCTTGGTTGATAGCGGCTATTCTGCGATGGCTCGTCGCCGCCATACCCACCAAGTTCCTGTTGAGCCATGGTAGGGCGGCTCTTGGGGATGGATGCATTGTAAGCATCCTGCTCCTCCTTGTTGCGACGTTCCTCTTCCACGCGGCGACGCTCTTGATCAGCCATTTCTTTCATCCGTTCAACTTGCTGCTGGTGGTCTGCTGCACGGTCCGACTGTCCGACCGAGGATGACGCAGAGCGCATGGAACTGTCAGATTGCTTCGACTGACTGCTATCAAGGCGCTGCATCGGTCCTGGCGGAGGAGGACGTGGGGGTGCGATGGAGCTACCAACACTACTACCGTATGCTTTAGGTTGACCGTTAGGCGGAGAGTTGATTCCAGCGTAGTACTGTGGGTTCTGCTCGCGCATTTTGATATCTGAGTAGAATTCAAGGACCTCGATGACGGCCTGGGGGTTCTTCTTGTAGTCTTCTTTCGTGATAGCCGAGGAAGTCAAAAGCTTCTCCCACTCTGGAGGCAAACCTACAAAGGCACCAGTATTTGGATCAAAGCCGACATGAACACGGTGACTGAAGTTTGTCGGGTTACTGACGCCGCCCATGCCAGGGCAGCGCTCGTAGATCTTGTCGATCCACTCATAGATTTCATCATCGGATTTGACTTCACAGGTGATGGTCTTAGTGGGTAGGTCGCGGGCGAGGAGTGCAGCTTTGGAGTTTGCATCCTTCGGGTTGGCCAAGCGAGTGACCTCGAAGGCCATCTTAGAATCCTCGGAGCGAGCGACAGCGGTGACCGAGGATAAAGGGAAAGTAATCACTACCTTGCCAGAGTCACTCTTCAAAAATTCAAGTTTATATTCGCGCAGGATCAAGTAACGTGTATTCCAAGTTGCCAAGAATTTGTCCTCTTTGCAACGGACGGTGCCCTCTTTGATGATTGAGATTCCATTTTGGCCGGTATTACTGCGAGACATCGCCAGCGAAGGGCTGCTGGTATTAGGGAAAAGCGAAAGGTTTGCGGACGATGCCCCCGGTGTGATCGGAGAGTCCAAGCTCATCTGACCGAAGGAAGTGGCTGTGTTGGTGGGTAGGGTCAACTTGGGGGGTCGGTCGGTAGGGGGCCGGGGAGCTGGCCCCGGGTTCATAAACTGCTCCGGCGCATACATATTGCTTGGGAGGGTGAGTAAAAGAGATACCACCAGATTTGAGGCCGGATGGTGCGGTTACATACTTTGCGTAGGATGTTATTGTTCAAGGGATTCCACAGGCCGCGCAGGGGTGTAATCGAATGCGCCGAGACCTCCTGAGGTCCTCGAGACAGGCTAGCGCTAGACTAGAATCAGCGACTGGATTCAAGAAGAGAATGATGTGAATGATTTCACGATGTTCCTCTTTCAGACTCACTCGAACACTTCCCAGGACAAAGAGGAGAGTAGTGTAGTATCGAGGGAATCGAAGGAGGGGTAGAATGTACCTTTTTTTTGTTTGGAAAAGAAATCAGGAGCGGTCCTCGCACTGCGAGGATGCTCGAGAATAAAACAATGCAATATCAGACGTTTAAAATAAAATAAAAGTAAAGATGGGAGAGGTTGGTAAAAGAGAAAGGGGGTCCCCTGAGATAGAGTACTTTACTTGGAAGTTCATCTACAGAAAACACGCCTCTGACCAATCAGAGTCGTCCATAGGGGATCCACGGGCTCTACTATTCATCGGGGTATCTTCTTTGATATCTTGTATATCTTCTTATATATCTTCTTTGATTCTCATATATTCTGATATTCATGATCGAAAAGGGAGCAAAAAACGATGTTATACATTATACCTCACCAAATGGATGATTGAACTTCAGTAATCCATTCAATCCACCGACCCATCCCTCATGGGCTTCACATCCCATACTTCTTCGCATCACACTGGGTACACCACCCTGCCACTCATTCTTCCCATGCCGCATCTCCTCATTCCAAACTCGGACCTCCATACCAACTCCCATCCCTTGACCTAAATGTACTCCGTCCAGACTGACTTCCAGTTCGCGCCCACGGTTCTTTTCGCTTAACCGCAGGGTGATTGGGGTACTGGAAGGGAGAACCAATGGCCGGAAGCTGAGACTACGCGCGCAAATTGGCGTCAAAAGGATGGACGGGACTAGTGGATGCACAATACTGCCCCCACTACTCAGACTGTAGGCTGTACTTCCGGTTGGCGTGGAAATTATGATTCCATCTGCCACAGCCTCCGTCAGGAACCGCCCACCCACAAACACATCTACCACAGCTAAGTGCGGTTCCTTGCCACGGTGAATGAGAAGTTCATTCATCACATATACCCCCTGCCCCTGGTCGGTCTTGGTCCGTATAGGTGTCGTTTCGATCCCGTCAGCGCCAAACAGTCCCACTTTCAACCGATTGCGCATCAGAATGCGTGCCCCGCGCGTAGAGCCCATAGATTTACCCCGGACGGATGACCACCCGGTCGGCCCCATCTCAATTTCCTGTTCTGTGAGTGCCGCCCCCGGGGGGTCTTCCAACACAGGTGTGCGATCCCCTGCCCCGGCTCCAGACATGTAGACTTCTCGGAAAGCCCGCTTGAACTCTGAGAACTTCCATTCACTCAAGAAGCCTAACGTACCCATACTGAATGATAGGACTGGCGGAACGTTTGAGCAGGTCGCGAAGAGCGACGCCGCATGTAGAATCGTGCCATCGCCACCCAGTGTCACCGTGAGGTCGACTTTATCATGAAGCACGGTTCTTTTCTCATCGAGAGAAACCGAATATACGGGGAAAGATAGCGACGAATGTACTTCGGCTGCCGTCTTTGACTCGAGAATCACCGCGATAGAGGGATATGTAGAGGAAACATGACTCGTAGATATCAGCCTTGTGTCTGGTCGTTTTTCATGGGCATGTCTCGATCTTACTTGACGAATTCAATCAGAGAATCAGTTACCGCTGGGGCGCAGTCTTTGCGCACCAGGAAGATATTTCGCGGCGGTGCTGGCCACTGGAGAGACAGGAGCTCCCCGTCACAGGATTCTGAGAGAAGCTATGAGTATTTCCACCAACAGATCAACAGGACCAACAAGACAACAGGACAGCCACACCTTGGTATTTTGGTATTAGGCGCTGAGACAAAGAGCCGATGTCTTTGATCTCGTGACGTGGTGAAGACGTGGAAAAATGCTGACGCAAGGCGAGGCGGGGACTCCTGCGGACGATGGCGCATAGCATGTTGGGAGGATCGCAGGCCTATCGACCCTGGTCATGTGTATTAGCCAGGAGGTTCAGGAAGATTTAAGCTGGGTTGGACCTCACATCAACGCGCCATCTTTCAGCCCAAGGGACTCGGGTGTAATGAGCTGACACAACAGTTGGTTTTATAGAGCAACTACCTCAAATAATTCGCAGGATCCCAAAGAAAGAGGGTTGTCAAGAAGTAAATTAAGAGTTCCCATTGGTGACGTTATGAGGCTGTGACCGTCATTTTGGGGATCCACGAGATCCGCCTGATTTCCCCCTCCAACTATCCAACTCACTAACTTGTTCAACTCCCCAACACTTATCCATTTGGGTTCCACGTTCTTTGTATTATTATAAACCCTTCTGCTTTCCAGAGGTTGGCAACCTATTTCATCTTCTAGCTTCTAGCTTTCTTGCGTTCTGAGCACATACCGTCAACCATCACCATCTCCGAGCCCGATCAGACCATCTCTACGTGTGGGCTTTGTACAGCTGTAGAAGCATCCGCTAGCTTCCAGACTCAGACTTGATTTTGCTATTTCATCTTTCGTCTTCTAAAGGGACAGGGATCTCCAGATCTTCAAATCTCCACCATGGAGCCGCCTGCCGAGGTTCGACAGCGCAAGCCACAGACCGCCAAGGATCCTGGGGAGCTTCAGAAGCTCTCGACCAAACCACCTTCCGAGCCCCGTCTCAAACATGGCATTCCCATGCAGCTACTGCGTTCTCTTTTGTTGATAACGTGGGCGGATTGTTGTATTGTGGTGATCTTTGTGACGCAAGTTATCGGCGCCCCGCTGTATCTGATCAACAAATATTACTACTATTCGTTTATGGCATATACAAAACAATGTTTTGGACTAGTACTCGGCGCTGTCACCCAGTGGAGTTCTCCGACGCTTGTCCGGGTCAGTGGTGATGCTAGTGTGCGTGGGCAAATCCACCTATCGAAAGATGGATTGCTGGAAACCAGGTTTCCAGAGCGTCTTGTCATGATCTCGAATCACCAGGTCTACACCGATTGGATTTACCTCTGGTGGGTTGCATACACCAACGAGATGCATGGCCGCATCTTCATCATCCTGAAAGAGTCGCTTAAGTATATTCCCATCGTGGGCCCTGGCATGATGTTCTACGGTTTCATCTTCATGGCTCGCAAGTGGACGTCTGACAAGCCAAGGCTTGAGCATCGTCTGGAGAAGCTGAAGACAGTTTACACCGGTTCCAACTCAGCCCGCCCGCAGTACGATCCCATGTGGCTGCTAATCTTTCCCGAGGGGACAAACCTGTCCCTCAATACCAAAGGGCGCAGTGACCTGTGGGGGAAGAAACAGGGACTGCCTTCATTCAAACACATGATTCTTCCGCGATCTACAGGGCTATTCTTCTGTCTTCAGCAGCTGAGGGGAACCGTAGACTGGGTGTATGACTGCACTATAGCCTATGAAGGACCACCGTATGTTTTTCTTTCCTCTGTCCCACTCTCCTTTTATTGGAATGATACTCACAAAGCTGTCTATAGAAAGGGAAGCTATCCCGATAAATACTTCACTCTCCGCTCCACATATCTACAAGGACGGCCACCAACCTCAGTCAACATGCATTGGAGACGCTTTGAGATCTCAAAGATTCCCCTTGACGATCAGAAGGAGTTTGAGGACTGGCTGGTAGCACGCTGGGCTGAGAAAGATCAACTTATGGATCAGTACTTCGAAACGGGCCGCTTCCCATCCGAGTTGGCCGGTTCGATAAAGGCCGAGCATGCAGTAGATGGCCAACAGGCTGCTGTTTCAGCTGGATATGTCGAGTCCCATGCTCGCCTGCATCATTGGAGTGAGCTTGGTCTTATCTTTGTGGTACTGGTCAGCGTTGCTTGCTTCTGCAAATTTGTAACAAGCTGGATGCAGTGATGGAAACACCACACCTGGATATTCTTGAATTTAGTAAATTCCATTTTCTCCTTTTATTTTGATCTCATTTATTCAGTAATCATTGAAAAGTAATCATTCAATAAGGTCCAGAAGAGCTGAATGCACTTGTTGCTCATTGTATGTGGTGTGGCGGTACGTGGCGGTGCAGCCCAGCCACTCCAATCGTTCAATTCTCACCTTCTAATTGCCGCGCTGTTAGTCCCCGAGCAGTCACTTTTTCGCGTTTTTCTCTAAATCCGAGGCCGCTAACCTCACTGGTCTCAATCCTGAACCTTTTTTGATGGACCGCCTCGCTTGATCATGAGTTGAGGCTCCTACAATCCCATACCTACTCGCAAAGTGGCCTCATCCCTCCCGTCCCCGGACACACCATGGCGCCTCTTGAGAATGGCCAAACCAATGGCCTGAATGGCGACGCTGTACCTTCAGCGAACCCATTGAGCAATCTGCGCTTTTCCGATATTCCCGATGCCATCGACATTCCCGCTTCCAGCTTCGACAGTGAAGTCGAAGTCAGCTTGCTCGAGCTTCCCGATGACCCGACTGAGCTTTGCACCCTCTTGGAGAACGAAAAGGCGGCTAAGAATTTCTGGGTAATTATTGCGCTCGCCTACGCGAAGCGAAAGCAGATCGATCATGCCATCGACATCTTGACCAAGGGTCTTGCCTCCGTCGCCCACGGAGCAACAAAGGAGAAACTCGGCCTGCTGGGCTGGATCTGCTGGATGCTGCTTTTGAAGAGCAGACACGCTCCTCGGGTTGCACCTGAAGGGGAACTATACTCGGAAGCCAAGACCAAAGATCACTATCTCCAACTCGCGACTTCGACGTTGAACGAGGCTTCGCGACTCAACCCGGCTTATCCCCCTCTATTCCTGGCGCGAGGTGTCTTGTGTCTCCTCCGCGCATCACTATACCCTCCTCGTGCAGTCCGTCCTGGTTCGATCGATACCTCGGAAAGAGTCGAGTCGCTGCGGCAGGCCCTGAAATGTTTCGACGAGTCATCCAAGGCCTTTGGTGGCCGGAACATCATGGCTATTCTAGGACGTGCCCGCGCACATTACATGCTAGGGAGATACGCAGATGCACTTGAAGGATACCAGAAGGCTCTGATAAAGATGCCTAATCTCACAGACCCTGATCCTCGTATTGGTCTAGGATGCTGTTTATGGCAACTTGGCTTCAAGGATCAAGCAAAGGTAGCTTGGGAGAGATCGCTATCTCTGGTATGTAAAAGAGCCCCTCCACCACGGGCTTCTGGCCCATAAAAAAATAACTAACCGCCATCTTTATGCAGAACCCCGAGTCCAAGGTTGCCAACGTCCTGCTCGCAGTTTACTACCTCCACGACAGCTCTCGCCGAGCCACCACCGATCCCATGTTTGGGTCAATGTACAAATTGGCTATGACTCAATACACCCAAAAGGCCTTCAAGCTGGACAAGGAATACCCGATGACTTGCTCCTTGTTCGCCAGCTACTTCCTCCTCCGCAAATCATATTCAACCGTCGAGACATTGGCACGCAAAGCCATCGAACACACAGATGTCATGGCTATTGCTAGTGACGGCTGGTACCTTCTTGGTCGTAAGTCGCACTATGAAGGCGACGCGGCCCGTGCTACAGAGTTCTACAACCGCTCTGATCAAGCCCGCGGTGGTGTTGACAAGGGCTATCTTCCCGCCAAATTTGGCGCTGTGCAAATGCAGATCACGAACAAAGACTTTGATGGTGCCAAGTTCCGACTAGAGAAGATCGTTCAGCAATCGAAGAACCCGGAGGCGATGACCCTTCTTGCTGCTATTCATGCGGAAGAAGTCTTCGCTGCTCAGAAGTCAGGCAGCAAGGAGGACAAGTCGACTGAGGCAAAGCGAGCCATCACTCTGCTTGAGTCGGTGCGTTCTATGTGGAAGGATGAGAAACAAAATATTTCTCCCGATGAGTCGGTTCTTGTTTATCTTTCACGTCTCTATGAGGGCACGGCTCCAGATAAGAGCATGCAGTGCCTGACCCAACTGGAACAGATCCAGATCGCTGAGATTCCTGAGGATGCTCGACCTGATATCGAGGATCAAGATAAGCTAAATGCTGCTCTTAGGGAGAGTCTCCCACCACAGCTCCTCAACAACATGGGCTGCTTCCTATACCAGAACGAGAAGATTGCTCTAGCTCGTGGCTTGTTCCAGTCTGCACTCAACGCCTGCGTGCAATCCAAAGAAAAAGAGGATGGCACTGATACCGATGCGCTCGTCACCACAATTAGCTACAACCTTGGACGGACTTACGAGGCAGCCGACATGTGGGATGAAGCCAAAAAGGTCTACGAAGGTCTTCTGGAGCGCCACGCTGACTACACGGAAGCCAACGCACGTCTGACATATATTGCCCTGCGCCAAAGCCCCACCGACGAGGGCCCTAAGAAGATAGGCAAACTTTACGAAGCAGACAGCACAAACCTAGAAGTTCGATCACTTTACGGGTGGTATCTCAGCAAGGCTAAGAAACGAGTCGCCAATCTTGCTGAAGATAGCGAACAACGCCATTTCAAGCACACGTTGCAGTACTATGACAAGCATGATCGCTATGCACTGACTGGAATGGGCAATGTACATCTCCTTGCCGCCCGTGACATGCGCCGCGACACAGACCAGGAGAAGGAAAAGCGACGCAAGATTTACCAGCGAGCTGTGGAGTTTTTCGACAAGGCTCTTCAGCTGGATCCCAAGAACGCATATGCGGCCCAGGGTATTGCAATCGCCCTGATCGACGACAAGAAAGATCACAGCTCTGCTGTGCAAATCTTGTCAAAGGTCCGCGATACGGTCAAGGACCCCAGCGTCTACCTCAACTTGGGACATGTCTTCGCTGAGCTTCGTCAGTTCTCACGGTCAATCGAACACTACGAGGCTGCATTGTCCAAGGACCGCCAGCGTGATGTGCAAATCCTGGCTTGTCTTGGTCGTGTATGGTGGCTACGAGGCAAGCAGGAGGCGAACCTAGCCGCCATGAAGACAGCACTAGACTACGCCACGCGCGCACGCGACGTCTCCCCGGATCAACTTCACCTGCAGTTCAACGTTGCTTTCGTGCAGAACCAAATCGCCTCACTTGCATACGGTCTACAGCCTACTCAGAAGACGCTCCAGGATGTCCAAGAGGCAGCGGAGGGTCTCAAGGAGGCCATTGAAACCTTCGAGCGTCTTTCGAAAGAGAAGAATCCGCCTTACCCCAGCGCTGCATTGGAGCAGCGAGCCAACATGGGCCGCACGATCAGTAAGCAGCTAGACCGAGCTATGCAGAGCCAGAAGGAGTACGAGGAAAAGAATGCAGCCAAGCTCCAGCAAGCCCGTGAAGCCCGCGAAGAAGCTGCGCGGGTCCGGGCAGAGGAGCTGCGCAAGGCTCAAGAGGTTGAGATGGAGCGCAAGAAGCGCATCGCCGAGGAACGCGCTCAGATGGTCGAAGAAGTGCAACGACATGCCGCGCAGCGCGCTGAAGAAGAGCGCGCTCGCGAGGAAGCTGACTTGACCAACGACTCCGAGACCGGTGATCGTGTCAAGCGTAAGAAGAAGCCTACCAGCAAGCGCAAGAAGAAGGGTGGTGACGATTTCATCGCTGACGAAGAGGAGGGCGGTTCTGCGCACAGCGGGCCCGAGAGTGAGGGCGAGACAGCGCCTAAGAAGCGTCGCCGCTTGGAACGCCGACCGGGCGGGAAAGCCCAGGCTGCCAAATCCGAGAAGCCTGGAAAGTACAAGAGCAGTGAGATGGTTGTTGACTCTGATGACGAAGAGGCGGTTGGGTCTGCCGGCGAAGACAAGGACGATCTGTTTGGCGACGACGAGCCGGTTGAAGAAGCTGCGCCGCGCCGTCGTGGCAATGCCTCTCGCCGTATTGCCGATGATGACGAGGACGAGGACGAGGAAGAAGAAGTACAACAGGAACTGGAAGCCGAGAAGTCTGGCAATGAAGACAACGACGACGAACTCTTCGGCGAGGAGCCTTCAAAGCCTAAAGATACGGAAGATACAGAGATGCAGGAGTGAATTGCCATACTACTTTTCTTTTTTTGTTACTATTCAAAGTTTTTTTCATTTTTCTCCCGGCGTCTGGGAAGGGCCCTCTGAACTACAATACATTTCTTCCCTTTGGACCTCAAATCATGTAAATTATTAGCCTTATCCTATTAAAAAAAAACACCTGTGCATTGTTCCAACAAGACCATTGAGACCAAAAGTACTAGAATATAGTAAAACGCCACAAGGAACGACGCCACAAGTAAACGGCCAAATACCGGCTTTTACAGATCTCTAAAAACGCCGTAAGCAAAGGGAAATACTCATTCACTGCGCATCTAAACTCGAACAGGAAGATGGGGGAAAAGAAAATAGATTAAAAGGCCAGGTCCAAGCGCACATAGATTCTAATGTAACTCCATATTCCGTAGAACGAATCTGCTCAGGCGTCATCTCCACTCGGATTTCCGCTGATAGTCCGTCCCTATTTTGTAGATGGCTTAGAAATGTCAGACGAGGCTTGCGCAGCCTCCATAGGATTTGCCTTGACTGGTGGGATTAATCCCTGTCATATGGAGAAGCTGCGCAATATGTGCTTAGTTGCTTGGTCGGTGCATTAGTGCTTCATGTAACTGCATATGGTAGTAGGTGTACGGAGCCCTGGGGTTGTGTGTGTGTGTCAGGGTTGGATTGGGGGCTATCTCGTTTATTAGGGCATGGATGTTAGATTTGATGTAGAGATGTCTGTTCGGAGTACGGAGGACTCCGTACGGAAGATTGCCTTTGGGGATCCTCTGCTGGACGGAGGGCTACGTTTGGACAACTACAATTTCCAATGGAGTACTCTGGAGTATAGAGTATCTCCAGAGGTCCCCTTGAAAATTGAACTACAATCCCACACAGAATTATTCCAGATCGAGATTCCGAGGCAGAAAACGTACGATCTTAATCCACTACATCGACATGGAAAATGGATACCACCTAACGCCCCAGTGGGACCTCGGAAAAGTGATCGGTACTTTTGGCAGGTTACAAGTCATGAATTTCCTTTCACGTTCTAAGCTATGATAACCCTATTTTAAGCTTGTAAGGTCTAGGAATTTCTAGAATAGATCCCTTAGGGCTGACCTGGGGCTTATCAGACGTATGTCAGAGAGCAGCTAATGGACCTATGACTCCATTGAAATCCAATATAAGAAACGAACACTACAACCTATAGAGAGCTCAGGTAGGATGTTATATCAACGAGGTGCACCGGTTTAGGGGTACACTGGATAAGTTGTGGAACTCCAACGGATCATTTCTCTCTGTGTCTATGTTGTATATTGTACTAAGGACGATCACAATGGAACACAAGGCCACGACCAGAACCTGTGCCGTCTCTACGGAGTACCCTTCATGTTGATCAATTTTCATTCGATATCAACATCTACTCCACCGTGTTTATGCGTGTCATAGAATGAGGATCATTCTCACACCCGAATCGAAAATTGCTCAAGGTCCTGGAGCACGTCAAATACAATGCCGCAGACAGCTATCCAAATCAGGTATGATAATACAATATGTACTCCGTACAACATACTGCGATGACCCAATAAGCTCTAGGAATGTCGCTAGAACTCAGGCTCAAGCAGTTCTCTAACGGCCACTCCACCTCGATGTAAAATTGCGTTACGCTCTTGTCGATCCCGTTCCTTTGACGATCACGGCACACGCTGTCCCCGTTCCCAAACAGGACGAGGTGGTCGGAGATGCTGGCATTGTCGTTCACGTCGACAGGGGCAAGACCATTGGAGTCAAGCATGGTGGCAGTAGTCATGAGAACTCGGACTCTGATGTTATCAGCAAGTTTGGTGCCGTTTCTAGCCGATGACACCATTGGAACCGTTAAGCACTCTTAGGGTTTGGTTGACAAAGAGACAGGCCAGATAACAAGGGCATCCTTGGACTGGGGGTTCTTGCCCCAACCTATGAATGAACTGAACTGTCTACATCCCAGGATCCAATCGTGAGAACTTTCACTCTTTGTTTCCATAAGAGGAAAGACATACTTAGAATCGAGTGGACGTCCCGGAGTATAGATTTTGAACTCGACAAAGAAAGGGCGTTCTGGATTTGGGCTTATCACTTGTAATTTATGAGATTTGGTGGCTGGAAATCAAAAGTCTAGGCTTCAATATTTCAGCTTTCTGAGGCTGAGGAAGAACTATCATAACTATTTCCAATAGTTCATCATTTGTTTGCGCACTATTTGGTTATTCTGAAGAGCTGAAAGGTCCATGTATCACAAATGATCCATGTTTGCCAACGTGAATGGAGCCTGTACTTTGTACCGCTAAGACCTACCATGCTTTATCTGAGAGTCTTATGGTTGCCAGGTTACATCAGAAGCCTGGATCGTCGCACTTCGTAGCATTTAAACGCCAGTCGCACTATGAGATACGGTCTGAGAGGATCCTCAATATTGTTAATCGGCCTACGGGGTACTCCGTTGCAATATGAGATTGATCCATTCTCCACATAATTCGGGCATATACATACTTGACCTGGTTAGGCGACCGTTGGATCGTGCTTAGGCTAAAATGATAATGCGTTACGCGAGACTAGATCGACAATCGGGAAATTGAGTCGGGAAAATGACGGACCCAGCTTCCCAACATACGGAGACACTTTTTCAGAAACGGAGTCCATACTCTCCGTACGGACACTAGAAGACTTCGGGGGCCAGCTAACCCCGTAGAATTAGATCTGTCGATCAGAGGTGTTCGTGATAGGCGAACCATGTGAAGTTTCATCTTCTAGAAGGTGTCCCTTTCAATTTGGAGGGTCGCACTAATCTAGAGTAGACTCATTTTACCCCATGCCACCTTTTTAATTGAAGGACTCATTGAAATGAGATTTAGTTTTCAAGAGAGTCTCCTACTCGATTTGACCTTTGTAAAAAAAAATAAAAACCACCAACGATGAAGAGATCCGACAATTGACCATCCAATTTCCGGGCTCCTGACGCAGATCCGACCCGAGGAAGAACACCGGAGACGCTTGGGCCTAAATTATAAACAGGTAGGGTACTGGACGATCATGGACACGAACGACCAGTGCATATGGGGAACGTGCTACTTGAACCTTCTGGAAGGGGATCCTAGTATAACCTCGGGGATAGATCTATAGCTTCAAACATGTGGCCGTGAGCACTAAATAAGAATCTCAAGCCGCAGTATGGAGTACGCAGGTACAGGATATGTATGGAACAGCGTTCTCATCAACATGTTCTAGACAACGAGATCGTCAGGAGTCCACTTTTCACTGTCGATACACACGATAACTAGCGGTATACTGTCTGAAATAGAATTGAGACTTTTTTTTTTTCCCTTTTTTGCTTTTGCTTTCTCCCTTGTTTCGAATCGTGCTAGCTGCAGGTCTGAGATCCACTTCCACACCAGATAGGAAGCTGCCTGTTGACGTCGAAGTGAAGATTAGAATCTGTACGGCGGTCGAAGTATCGAAGTATACGGATCACCCCAACGGCCAAAAGTAATTCGGTGCTACCTAGGTCCATCCATGATCAGGCACATACCATATACACAGGCACAATCATATACCCCGCCCTGAGACAATGCAATTCCCCGACAGGTAAGATGTAAGGACGCGATGATTCCCGCATCACATTCTTCAGCTTGCATCCCCGAGGCAATCTAAAGTTGGTTCGACGGTTGACAAGAAAAAGGTCGCTTCCAATTTACACGAGATAAGGGGGGACCGGCAGTTACCCGAGGCTCCAACAGACCCGACAGCTAGGTAGGATCACAGGAACTCGCATGGAGATCCTTGCTCTTTCACAGCGATGTGGAAGTGAAAAAAATAAGAAAATAGAAAATAGAAAATCAAAGCGAGAAATGCTGGCAGTAGCACATGTATACCTAGGCTCTGATACCATCTGAATTCACAATGTTCTTACTGCTGGACCCCACTGCCGGAGCCCGAAAGTAGATTGCGATCTGAGACTGGGCTTTAAGCCCTACATTTTCCCTAAATCAGGCCGGATCTTTAGAAACCGTTGAACCGAGGCTCCGCTCTACGCGGGGAAAGAAGGCGTCTCAGGCCTCATGCAAGGCACAAGCGATAATATATGCCATACAACATACCTAGGTAGTATATACCTGGTGTAGATCCAAGTACCTAGGTACCTAGTAAGGGAAAGACACTGTGCGCCCCCAGCTTATCATGATAAGGGCTTCTCTCCACTCCGGGGCGTATGCTACCTTGGTTCAGTAAGGAATCGAAGTGTATAGTATTGAACAAGATTACCAACATCTCAATTACACCCAATGATATCTCGGATGCTCGTGTCTACATATGGTCCGGATGGTGTATCTGCTTCTCTAGGATGTCGAACAATAACATCGCGTATACTCCGTATTGGATCCCGTGTCTACAGGTCCAAGCTAGTCAACCCTTTTGAAAAAGAATAAAAAATAACAAATAAAAAATAAAAAATAAAACCAAAAACCAAAACGGGGCGTATCGGACGGATATTGACCAAAGGAGGATAGTCTGTTTTGTCTTCCCCACACGCGGGTCCCCAGCACGTTCAGAACCAACCCCCTGGCTCGATGCAGATGCCACTAGGGCACTGTTCGGCTCCGTGATGTTGGGATTTCTGATGTACCTTGGTTCAAATCTTACTAGGTATTGTATTTACTTGTCTTGGACATTGGGGTACAGTGGAGGGGAATATGATAGAAAAGATATCTATATATACCCGGCTGAGTGCATGGTGTAACAGATCCAATTAACTAAAACAAAGAGAGAATAGATCAGAAAAGACGGAGAGAAATCAGAACTATAGCATCATATACTAATAATGGAAAAATAAAAAGAAAAAAAGGGAACGGAAATACACCATAAATACCCCTGAACGCGGCTCCACTGCTCCGTGTCTTGTATTACCCCCGTCATCGAGTATTCTATTAATTTATTATCACCTCTGTTCCACTGGAGAACCGTTCCTTTCCACTTTCGCTCCTTTATGTAGACGGCGGAGATCTCCAGATTTCCATCTTATCATGGTGTAGTTTCTTCCTTGCACTTCCACCATGTCGACCTTTACAACCATGGCCAAAACCTGGGACGACGACGACCGTCCATCCACAAACTCCTCCAACGAGTACCCCGAACATGTCGCACATATTCGTTCCAGGTCCATTGCCCTCACTAACAGTCCCAAGCGGGTGTCCGTCTTTCGTGGTCGGTCCAGAAGCAATACCACCACCTCCACTTCGTCACGCCGGTCACCGGTCTCTTCCATGACCTCGACAGATAGTTCAATTGTATCGGACGAGCGAGCCGTCTCGTCCTTGGGACTCCGCTCCGATAAGCAGGATAAATCATCCCGATCCTTTTTGGCGCGGGGAAGCCGCATCCTGCGCCGACAGGGGAGCAAGATTAACATTGTGGCCACGCTGGACGAGGAAGATGAAGCCGATCGTGGGAAGGCGAGGCCCGAGAGAGAGATGTTTGGCCGTCGTGCCCGCCATACCGATCACAGTAAGTGTGCCGGCCCCGCAGCTGTGGACACTGCAAACTGTGAACTCAATTGACCCCGGCAATCCATTTAGGCGAGCGCTTGAAAAGCATCATTTCTGATCCTTTTGACTTCCACCACTTGACTCATACCAACCCCTCGCAGTTCCAATCCTTGGATCAGACACGCGAGAATGACCTGGTCACTGAGTTCTCAGCTATCCGAGCAGCGCAACGGCCCCAGACCGATCTCAAAGGTATCCGTGCTGAGGACATTCATTTCCGCAATTTTTCCAGTGACGATCTGCGCTCGTTTGGAACGGCCACCACGGTTGATGTGCCCAGCGTAAGCCCGCCGGCGTCGCCCAAAACGCACCGGCACCACACACGCAGAGAATCGCGCGTCAACGAGAACTTCTCACGGCCAGTCTCCAGATATCCCCGGTCCTGCCCCACCACTCCCCCACCTCCTGGTGTGACCGAGACTCCCCCGCCGGAGACCGATGAGCCTGCACCCCGTGCCATCGACGAGATCCTGGGTTTATCCACTGCTACGACGTACCCAGAGTGTCTCCAATCAGTGCAGCCAACCCAGTTTTTCAGCCCCGAGCCTACACATGATGGCACCAGGGCCTCGTCCATGAGCAGCCATTATGATTTGGAAGATGTCCCTGAGGAAGATGTCTCCGAGGAAGAGGAAGAAACCCGGTACTGGGACAGCTCCGAGTCCAGCGTCGGATGCCCCCATTCTCGCTCAACTTCTCAAACCAGCCCACCTCAAATCGAGACCCAGTCACCCGAACGCAAAGCGCCATTGTCGATCTATGTGACCGAGGAGCTCTCCAGGAAGTTCTCGGAGGCTCTAGGCTCCCCGACTCTCCCTCAGCATCTGCATGACACCCCCCGCGCCCAGGTAGAGGTCACACCACCCGAGCCGATCGCCAGCCTGCACTTCTCATACGAGGAGGAGCTATATGACTCATGGGACGCAGACATCGACTACTGCTATGAGCACGCAGCCGAGTCCACCTCCAACTTCGACTGGGCTCGCACATCCCTGGACGAAGTGCGCCCTGAAGTCGGCGTGGCCTGCGGCGAGGGTCCCTGGCTCGTCCCGAAGACCCGACACCTCCAACCGAGCCCACTCAGCATCTCTGCCCTACCAACCCCAGACCTGACTCCCAGCTCAGCTCGGTCGATGCCCTCCCACCCAGCCGCCACTCCGTCCACCACAGATTTCGAGCAGGAGTTCATCACGCGGAACGCAGACTATTTTCATCCCGTTAGTTCCTCGATCATCACCCCGATGAGCAAACACATCTCCCAGGAACCATTGTATGAGGAGTACATGACGACTGATGGCGAATCAGACCGCCACTTCCCCTTCCCGCCGGGCATGATGGGCCCTATTTCCCCACGCAACAGCTTCTCCCCGATAAGTAAATGCAACTCACAGGAGAGCCTGATGCTCTCGCGCGCAGCCTCCATCGTGCGCAAGCATCGCTCCTCTGTTTCAACGACAACCAGCGTCCCAGAGCTCATCTACAGCCTGTCCAGCAGCCGCGAGCTCATACCAACGGACCGTATGACAGCCGGCGAGGCACTCACCCGTCCTGCATCTTCCTCCCACCACCGTCAGACCAAAAGTCTGGCTGAGGCGCACCTCCGACAGAATGGCAGCAGCACGAGTCTTGAGGGTGCGGATCTTCCAGTGTCTCTCCATGACCGCGCCAAGTCCACTTCGGAGGTCGAGTCTCAACCGATGAAATTCGAGGTTCCTTTGCCTCCTGTTCCCCCCAGAAACCCGAACAGAAGAAAAGCTCGCTCACCATCTTACTCTCTTTTCCCAACAACCGCTCACTGAGTGTTCCTATCGTTATCATCAACCCCCTACTTTGTGTTGATACTTTTCCTTTTTTCACCCCTTGCATATGATCTATCTGAGGTCACAACTCTCGCTTTGTCACCTGATAGACCCTCTCTCAACGAGTCCACGATCTGTGTTTTCCTATTGTCTCTGTTTTATGTTTCACCTGTCTTGTCTTTGCCTGTGAGCCATATCTGTTTCATTATGTGTTCTGTTCTGCGTGTTTCAGCTGTGGTCATTCTTTTACCTCGATGCATTTCTCAGCGATAGCGACTTTTTACTGGCCTGGTGTATTGGAAGGGCGATTTGGGAAAGAGAAAAAGAGGAAAAGGAAAAGGATGTTTTGGAGGAAATTTGGAATTCGTGTTTTTGGGTCATTCGCTAGCTGGTTTTTCTTTTTGCCATGTTATAGACTTTGGTTCTTATAGAGGAGCTGATCTGCTCCAATACCATCCGACTGCCTTGCAACAGGGAGGGTCGTTACTTGCAATTTTGTCTTTGTGGTTTACACTCGGCTGTAGTGAAGATAGGAAAGAGATGCTAGTGAAGTATAGAGTCATGTCAGGTTTGTATAATCATATCAAAGTTATTCAGTACAGAACATATTCGAGCAGCGACTATCTATCTTTCCGCTTTTCTGATCCATCTCTCACATCGTCAAAACCGAGGCCATACATCACCAAAAATTCACGGCACGGTTGCCCCATTCCACAGAGCCCAGGAAGGACCTGCATCACTTGGAATCGGTACCATCACACTTTCATATCGCATATCTTCGAGGTAGGAGAGATTTTGAAAAGTCAAATTTTCAAGTGAGGTATCGGTAATGACTTCAAAGGCACGTCGAGGACTCAAATCCATGTATTTCGGATTTAGTTTGGTCATTTCAGGCCTGCCCCATGACAGATCTGGTGCACGAACTCTCCATCGGGGATCATCCAAGCTGAGACCGGAACCTAGGTTGATCCATCTCGTCATCACTATAGTGACATGACCATCTGGTTGGTTTCTGAACAACTGAATATCGAAGTCTGTGTTGCAAGCATCACAGTTCGAATACGACGGGAGTGGATATGTGTCATGGGCAACAGACGGCATCCAATGTTGGATTGATTGGTGTCTGCAAGCTCGGAAAGATTCAAAGCGGTCTTGGACCGATTCACCACCGAAGTCGCCCAGGACCATTGATCCTTCGCGACTCATAGACAAGAGACTCTGAATGCGCAAAATCAAACCCGGTGGTTTAGGGCATATCTTTGCCTCGATGGAAGATAAAGTAGTCGATGTAGGGAATTCGTCTGTCCAGCCAGACTCATTCGTCACTTCGGTAAAGGACAGCGCATCTGTGCTAATCCCGTACGAGGACCGCAGTAGAAATGTTTCATAACAAGTTGGAGATGAGAAAAGTGAAGCCTGTAAAGAGAGAAACAATCGAGATGATCGTTTTGCGAAATCATCGACAAATAATAAGACGAACGACGCTGAGAAGCAAGTGGGCAGTCCACGCGAGGCGGGTAGGCATGTTTGGGGCATGATTCTAACTCAAAAGGCTCTGGAATGCTGCCCAAAGTATGAAGGACCCAGCAGTCACTGCAAACTAAGTAGTGGGGGTGATCATGTTCGAGCCGACGCAAGATACGCAACCGGGCCTTTCGTTCCAAGACTTGATGTTTCGTCCGGCTCGTGAATATTGCGAGAAGTCGCTGGTTGCAAAGGGAGAGGCAATAGATATCCTCAAGAGGAAGAAAATCTGCGATGCACAACAATAGCTCAACAGAAAGGACACTCAGAAAGTCCGGTCCCGGATTTTTCTAGGTGAGAGATGTCAGATAGATGGTCTCAAGATACTGGTCTATAGCTCGAGGCTAGGGAAGAGGCGTAATAGATATGGTCTTGAGGGCTTGCTTGATACTAGGGGCACTCACTTTCACCAAGTCTGACATTGCGGGATGTAGTATAGCAGTGTAGGTGATGATGGTAAATCAAATAAGCAAAGAGGATCTTCAAAGGTTAGAAGAAATGAATGGTTTGAAGAGTATTCAAGTGTAGGGTTTATAACCCACGATTATGAGAGAATGGGATGAGTGCGTAGTTCTGAAGAGGCTCAACATAAATATGAAGGATGTCTTGGGACTCTGATTGATATTACATACGGAATCATAGCTACAGATATAGCCATGGCTATCTAGATTCATAAGAAAGAATCTATGAAACAATTTGCACCTTTCTGACGTAGGCAGTGCACAAAAGCGTTGGGTGGGTTCCTACGATCGAAAGGTCCAGGCTTTGTATAGATGCAAATTGTATATGTACAAATTCTATAGTGATTGTAACAAGCACTACATAGGCATACCTTAGCTTATATGATCTATGCAAGCTGACATGTAGTGGCGTCTGAAGTATGTTTACCCAAAACGGTTAGAGCAAACTCATATGATCCGCTATCCATCTTATCGCCACTCACTCACCTTCTCTTAATCTAGCCTCCCCAAACCTTTGCTCTACAAACATGGCGTCTCCTCCTTCGCAGGAGCTGGTCAAGCAATCTGCTGGCCAGCTTATGCCTCCTCCGCCACCCCCGAAGCGAATCAAACGTCCCGCGACCGTCCTTGACGAAGACGTCTACACCAGCACTTTGTCCCACATTATCGCCCGTGACTTCTTTCCGGGATTACTCGAGACACAAATAAAACAAGAATACCTGGAAGCCCTTGAGTCGAAAGATAAAGCATGGATCGCAAGTTCGAAGAAGAAATTGGCAGGCGTCATGCGTACGCCTACCCCAGGGTCAAATGTAAGACGAAAGTCAGACTATGCATCGGTCCCGAGTACACCGCAGCATTTCCCTTCCGGGCAACCGGGTGATACTCCGCACGGCTGGGGAGGCGATACTCCCATGTCGGTCATATCAACTTCCACGGCGGCAACCGAAACGCAAGACCGACATATACCTGATGTATCGAATATGGGACTGGTCGCCTTCCAGGCGAAGTATACCAGCGAAGACAACGAGTCCTTCAACAAAGTCTTGGACAAGCAGAATGAAAAGCGACGAGAGAAACACCCCTGGCTTTGGAGCGGGAACAAAATCCCCTCGGCCCGGCAAATTGCACACCACCAACAAGAAATCAAGCGCATCACAGCCCAAGGCGGAAACCCGGAAACGGGCCTCATCAAACGAGACGAGCATGCTCAACCTGCCATCAAAACAGACCTGGATGCGCGCCCCGCAAATCCAGACACGTGGAAAACCCGACCAGACAACACCCTCATGTTCCTGCCATCATCGGTGGAGGATACCCACGAGACACTCGCGCAGAAAGCAGAAACGACATCCCGAGCAGGCCTGAAGCGAACTCTCTACCAAAATACCAGACTCCTAGACCCACATGCCGCAGCAGCAGCGGATGCCGCCAGCGCCGTACCCCCTTCACCCTCACTCTCTGCCATTCAAGATGCCATCGCTGGCCGACCCCGCCTCGGCGAGTCGGAAGCTGCATCCGCCTATGCAGGGAGCGAGACTCCAAGGGTCAACGGATATGCCTTCGTCGACGAGGATGAGCCCGAACCTGAATTTACATATGGCTCCAGCTCCAAAACCGACGACATGGAAGTCGACTGGCGCCTCCTCGGACCGACCTCTGAAAAGCCAAATCCCTTCCAACTTGGCGAGACTCGCAAGCGTGAAGCCCTGCATCACCGTATGGTCGATCGTGTAGCACGAAACAAACGTGCTGAAAAGGCCGCCCGTGTTACGAAGACGCCTGTCTCGTTGACCCCGCGCTTTGGTAGCAGTCCTCGGTTTGACTTTGGGTCTCAGTCTACGCCTGGGGCTGGCTCTAGTAGAGGCTCTGTCTCTGGTGGAGGACATCAGGGAAAGATGCTTACGCCTGCAGCGCAGAAGCTGTTGCAGCAGGTCGGGGGTACGCCAAGGTCTGGAGAGAGGAAATCTGGACTGGGGAATCTCTGGACTCCTACGCCGAAGCGAAAGTGAAGGTCATGACTTGTTTTTTTATTTTCTAGCTGCACGATACCACGGAGCTTGTAGACTCCAACGGCGTTTCATTGAATATCAATCACCGGGAACAATCACAAATGTCGGTACATCCGGGTTTTAGTCGTATTTTACATATGAATATGGGTATCAGAGTAGTAGCAATCAAACATTGTAGCAATATAGCCATGAGTAGATATTCGTAGAGTGGGACATCGGGACGAACAGGAACCGCACGAAAACAAGTTCTTACCCGGTCCCGGTAGCCTCCATGCTCTTTATAGCGACATGTCCATAAATATTATACATGTTTGCGAAATTAAACATTTGAAGCTGAGATTTGGCATAGAACTTGTGGGCTTTCTTTTTGTCTATCTTCAGAATCTTTGAACGTCGCTAACGAGATGACAGATTCTGACTTGAGAATAAATTGATATTCAATTTGACCTCGATTTCTGGTGTATATCAAAATGAGTATCGAGACACCAGAGAGCCAGACTGCTGCACCAGCAGCAAACTCTGCTCCTGCATCTGAAAATATCTCCAAAGCCAAAGAGATCATTCCACAAACAGAGACACCAGCAGAAGAGAAAGAGAAAGACACCCAATCTTCAATCTACTCCCCAGCAAATCTACTCTCAAGTCTCCTCTCCCCATTCTCTTTCTCGGGCACATCTCCAAGCCACAAAGAAGAAGAAAAAAAAAAGAGAAAGAGATCAAAAGTCCAACTAAGATATCAATCGAAAGCCCAACCTCAGACTCAACCACACAACCAACCCCAGAACCATATTACACGCCTGAAGAAACACCTCTGTACAAAACACTGTACAAGACGCGTCTAACAAGAACCCGCACAAAACAGCTCCTCCGAGCAGGAGAGCGAGCATACAATGATCCACCACCTCCACCAGGACTAGGTGATTGTTGTGGGAGTTCGTGTGATCCTTGCGTAAGGGATTTGTGGAAGCAAGAGATTGGAATTTGGAGGGAGAGATGGGGGGATCGGGGCATTGAAGAAGGGCAAGGAGTTTTGAAGAGCGAAAAGAAAGAGAAATTGGGGAAAAGGAAAGAGTTGGAATGGTGAGAATGGTGATGAATATGAAGTAGAAGATAAGTGTATAGAATAACTAGATCGAGTTCTTGGGTATAGAGACAGAGGGCAAGGAAGCAAATAAGTACATATTCATATACCTACATGTATATATCTACATCAAATACATAAGTCCCATAACCGCCAAACTAAACAACCAACCCCAAGTAGCCAGTCTCACTCCAAGACTCAAATAATACGCAGCTCCAAGGAAAGAGCAAGTGATATCACCTTTTGAATTCCGGTGGCCGTAGGAATAATTCATCATCAGGCCCTCAGGACATCCGAAGCCAAGTGCAGACGGACAACTCTGAACGAGGGTATGACAGATATCCCAACAGGGCAGAATCTCCTTATAGGGACCAGGCTTGATCTTCTCATCGATGATAGAATTGCGGGATGAATTCGTCCTCACGACTTTGCGGTAGGGACTATCATCCGGCAAGGAAGAGCCATTGATGAAAGGCTGGTCTGCGTTACGGACGCGCAGGTATTCCTTATTGCTACTGTAGTCCGCGCAGCGGGGGATCGTGACAACGCAGAGCCACTCTTTATAGGCCTGTGCGCAGTGGTCGCAGTTGACGGCGAGGGAGAACATTGATTCTTGGGATGCGTTACATTGGGTCTGTTGGAGGGAGTAGTTGAAGTTCTGGTAGAAGGCGGCGGCGTGGTCATCGTAGATAGTGCGGAGTGTGTCGACACTTAGTTTAGGATTTGAAGGGACTGCGTATGCGACTTCTGAGCAGAAGGTCAGGTTGAATAGCACGGCGCAGTTGTCATCTGGAGCATGGTTAGGTGGGATTGCTTTTTTTTTTGTAGAAGTTGTTGAGGACCTGCTTACCTGTTTTGGTTGTAAAGTTCATCGGTTTCCATACCTTGCCGCCGCCGCCGATGATGCCATTCCCGGACGCGGTGGAATTGCCAATCATGGCCAGAAGACCGATGTACGAGGAACTCTGGTTCAGTCCAGTTATATAGAATTGTTCTTTGGGCTTATTTCCAAGTCCACGACTCGTCATGCCAACCTCAGTTGAATTACTGATTCGGCCCATCTGGGAAAGCTCATCGAGGGCGCAGAATGATTTCTCTAAGCCCTGCAGTGCTGTATCGTTCATGTTGTGAGCAAACATGGTATATGGTGGGACGAGGTCCATCCACTTTTTGTAGTTTGCAGAGTCACTCTTGGACTGGGTTAGGTTATTCGTCACCAGCAGCGCGGCTGACACGTCCGCGTCAATGAATAACAGATTTGGGTCATTTTCCACGATATTGTGGAAAAAGTCATCGATGGATGCTGCGATCTGGTATTTGTAGCTTCCCATATAGTCGGTTGAATTAGGCGCAGCGACGCCGATGAAGACATCGCTGTCTGTGTCAATGGTGATTCCCACATATCCGCCAACGGCAGTGTGTTTGACCTGCTGCGAGTCGTCTTTGTCTGGTCCTGGCTGTTGCAATTTCTGCGTCTTCGACACATACATTTCCAACTGTGAGAATTCGTCCCGTGGGTTGGTTTTGTTGGCAATGGGCTTTTGGCAGGTCGTGAGCGATAAATAGACTGTGGGTAACGCTCGCTTTGAAAATTCCCCTTCTCGTTTCCGTAGCTCACGGGTCGAGTGCTGGTCATCTTCAACCGCAGCATCCATATATCCAGGAAGACCCGCGCCTTTGGGGCCGTGTTTGCCGTTCACCACATCGTGGGGCAGGTAAAACCATTGGACATCGCCGATGTCGAGCTCGCCCTGGGCGAACTGGTTGTTGCCCAACGCTTTCGCGGCATTAGGGTATCTACGCACAAGCTCCAATCCATTTGACTCGCCATCTTCGTCGACACTGTCGCGAAGTTCCAGCCCGTTAAACGAGTCCAGCGCAAAGGGAAGTCCTGCCCCATCGGTGGGAGCCGTCCCTCGGAGGGTCAGGGTGTCCTCTGTATCAGGGCCATGGGAGGCGTCGGCATAGGCGAACGAGTCGCAGGTAAGTGCGAAAATAAGAAAGATTGCGCTAATCGTTGCAGTAAGATAGCACTGCAGCGCGTTGTATTGACGTCGCATGGAAAGACGGAGGGGAGGGTGTTGCTGTATAGCCTATGGGGAGGATTGGAGTGGGCGCGTAAAGATATCACTGGCAAGCGGTGGTATTCACCAGCTGCAAACCTCTTTCTGGAGGCCAAATCAACGGCTGCATGTAGTCGACGTAAGAGTTGTTTAGATGAAGCCGGCTATCGTGGAAAATGCCTGTCTTATCAATTTGGCTGCCTTGCTGCCTTATTGAGAACACGTAAGTGGGAATGCGCATACATTCACACCTGCATGTCTGCACCATATGTTCTCTACCGCGGCTTTTTTATACTAGCTGATGCCGCTTTTATGAGGGCGCTTAGGGTCAGAGACTCTGAGTAAAATGGGTTGAGGATGCTGAGGTATCTGATCAGGACGCTAGACTCCCGCAAATGAAGGGTAAATTAGCCAGGCATAGGATATTTGAAATGGCAGAGACGGCGACTTTGAGTATTAGATCATTTGGAGGAAGTTCGGAGTTGTATTCTATCATAATTTTATAACGAACAACAAAGCTGTGAGAACGTAAACTTTCACAGTCAAATGACACGCAAAATGCACGACAGAAGAATAAGATCTCAAGGCAAAATAGCAAATCAACATAATCAGTAAGGAGAAAAAAAAAAAGAAAAAAAAATCAAACCAGCCTCTGCCAGCGGGCAAGGCCAATGCTCACAATAACAATACCCGCCATGACTCCCAGAATGCCGAACCACCACCCCAATCCTTCAGTGTGGCCGCCGGGAACTTCTACGTTCATACCGAACAGTCCACAGATCAAGTTCATGGGGACCAGAATCGTCGCAATCAGAGTGACCTTACTGAGAACCTTATTGACGTGGTTTCCCAACACCAAGTTGGTGACATTCAGTTGGGCTAGGTAATTGGTATGAGACCGGCTGAGCATCTTTTCGAAATGTGCCAAGTTCGACATCATGGTCACGACATGATCCTGGATATCACCAAGATAAAGACCAATATCACCACGGGGAGTAACCGAGTATTGCTCGTTACAGCGCTTGGAGAATCCACGAATGACATCAGCCTTGCCGCCTAGCAGACGCATCAGACTCATGACCTTCTTGCGCAGGCCTCCAATGCGAGGGAGGAAAGATTCAAAGTCGTCAACTCGGGCGATGAACACATGGTCTTCGATTGCCTCGGACTCCAATTCCACGTCACGAATCACGGGGCCAAAGCTATCCACGATATCGTCGATCATTGCATAACAAATCCAGTCACTGCTGAGAGACACGTAGTCGCGCAGCTTTCCAATACGTTTTCGAACATTGGATGCATGAGGGTTGTCCTCAAAGGAGAAAGTGAGGACACCGTCTCGGAAGACAACCATGTAGAAATTGACAGGCTCGAGGAATTCCTCGCTGGTCTTGTCCATTTGGAAGAAGGTACGGAAACAGACAAAGTAGTACTGTTTGAATAGTTCGACCTTCTCGCGGGCTTCCTGGGTTTGAATATCCTCCGTTGTCAGCGGGTGAATAGAGAAAGCCCGGGAGATAGCTCCCAATTCCTCGTCGGTTGGGTTGACCACATCCAGCCACCACACACCTCCCTCAGGTCCAAGCTCGAAAAGATCTCGGAAGGTTTCGCCAGGGAGCACCAAATCTCCCAAATCGGCAGCGTGCACTGTGCTTTGCGCTTCAGACGAAAAGAACCCGAATCGAGAGCGCTGGCTTGTATTCTGAGATGCTTTCAGCGGCTCTTTTTCGCTTGTGATCTCGGCGTTCTTCTTTTCATCTTCACTTAGTGTATCATACGAGCTAGTCTTTTTGACTGCATCCATCTCAGGGCTTTCAGCGCCAGGGCGGAGGTCATAAAAAATGCGGGGCCTCTTGCCCTGCGAGCTCATGCTGTGCTTGCGGCGAATGCCATCGCCGATTTTGGTGCTCGGATTGAGAGCCACGAATTCCTCGAGTTCCTCGTAATCAATGACGGGAATACGGCCTGGCTCGTCGAAGCAAGCCTCCTCTGCCGTGTCGAATGGCACATCCACCAATTGAGGGCGGATGACACTGGCGTTGCTGAAAGTTGGGCGCCGGTTGTGGGTGCCACCCGAGACGGTGCGTTGCAAAATAGCTTCCAAGTCGGGAGGCGCATGGCTGTCCAGGGTATTGGCGCGTTCACGGCGACGTGGGTCGGCAAAAGCTTCGACTGAATTGGGAGGAGAGGATGATCGAGCGGATACGGAGGACCCGTCAGCGTTGGCAAGATCCGGATTCACAATGCTGATGCGACGAGGGGTTTGATAAGTGCCGTTAGGGTCGACTGAGAACCGTCGAGCGAGTCCATTCAACTCATTCAACGAACGATCGTCGTCCACGGAGTTTTCAAAGTCTCGGGGAATTGGACCGTCTCTTCTGGCATCTTGCGCACTGAGAAGGTCTGGACGATCGAGCATTTCAGGGCCTTGAGTGGTATCGCGCGGGCTGTAGGCACGCTCGACGGGGGCTTCAATCCGGGGAGGTGTCTGCATCTGGAGACGGTGATCATCCAGTTCGGGTACCGGGGTACTGTATCTAGTCAGGTACATGTACCTCTCGGATCTAGGAGACTCAGACATGGTGAGCTCTCAATGTATGAGGATTCGACGAAAGAGATTAGGGCGCCAGGTTGGCTGATTTTTGCGTGGTGTTTAGTTTGGAAATAGTTGCTCTTGGAAAGCACGACGGCCGGAGCAGACGCAAGCCGGTAAGAGGTTCGTTCAAGGGTGACGGCCCTCCATCCATAAGCCAGACCCTTCACGAGGGCCTGGCGTTACCGACTAACGTCTGGCGGCCACAATAAAGATGTTGGTGAAACCCAGTTAGGGGGTCTGGTGTCGCCCCCGCCAAAGACCCGGAACTTGGGGCCTGCAAGAGGGTGGAGGAGAGATGCCTCGGTGTAGCGAAGTCCCGCCAACTTGAAGAAGTCGTCGGATGAGGAGCTTGGTGGCTCCAGGGTTGCTGTTAGACGAAAGGCGCGAAAGGGTTTCGCGGACAAAAAAATTGACGTTAATACTCGAAGTCTCGACTGAGTTTCGTTCACCAAAGATAGATTGGAAAATTCTAGTTGAGTCGTAAGTTGTAGGAAAAAGTGGGAAGGGCGGGAAAGGTATAAAATGAAGTGGCAAAGACCTAACGGGGTCGATGATGGTTCCGGAAGCCGCCCAGAGTCACCGCGAGATATTAAAAGGCTAATATAAAACCTCACCTTAAGGGGGCAAGTAATAGGAGAAAGAGAATAGTGGGGGGGACTAGAACTAATATGTCGAAAGAGAGACAAAGCTTGGTGAAAAATTTTTACAAGCGGGCCCCGTTTCAGCAGATAAAGGACTCTCAGGGTTTTTACTCCGTATATGTATTGTACAGATTATGGAGTACGGAGTACATCCAGAGTATGAGACTATAAAATGATCCTATTATTGACGAGGGATTACCACTCTAGCGCTAATCATTGCTTTGAGGCATTATTTCCTATCAAGACTTTGACTTGTATTCCTCCGTATACTATCCCGAGGTCTAAGATGTCATATTTGTCGGATTATTGTCCCCCTTGGCATCGTATTTCCAGGTTATTTGACACAATAATATTACTCTAGAACATATTCTCTCGGCAAATATACCCCCCTTTTCATCCTGTTTCGCCTGTGCTATGTTGAACTTGGGTGTTCAAAATAGACCGAGTACGAAGTACTTGTATAGAGTCAAGAAACTCACCGACAATGCAATATATATATATATACTCGGGTCTGACATCCATGCTAAACACAAATCAAATCAAATCAAAAAAGAATCCCCAATGAGTTCTCAAGTGCTCCACTTGCGTTTCCGACGTCGGCCAAATTTTTTGGTGTGCCAAGAGTTTCAGAGTCACATACCGGACTATCAGACTATCTTGTACATCTTGGACCCTGTACACACTCGACCATATAGTCTCTGTCAGCCATGACTTCTTTCGTGATCAAGATTCCTTGCTCCTCTGCCAACATTGGCCCTGGCTTCGATGTCATCGGCCTGGCATTGTCCCTCTACCTGGATCTCCACGTCACCGTTGAGGCCAAACCCTCATCCCAGCTCCCCTTCAACTGCGCCATCACGTATGAGGATCAGAGCAAGAGTGTTGAGCAGATCAGTCTCGACCCAGAAGTCAATCTGATCACCCGTGTAGCCCTGTATGTCCTCAGATGTCATGACCAGCGGGCCTTCCCCGTCGAGACCAAGGTGCATATCGTCAATCCCATCCCATTAGGCCGGGGTCTGGGCTCTTCTGGTACCGCTGTTGTTGCTGGTGTCATGCTAGGCAATGAGGTGGGTAAGCTGGGTCTGAGCAAGGAACGGCTACTCGATTATTGTTTGATGATTGGTAGGTGGAGTGTTTTATGTGCCCCTCATCTGAGTCTCCGGAGAAAAAAGAAAAATATCATTCGTATGTCGTACGTCTTACTAACACGTGCAAATAGAGCGGCACCCGGATAATGTGGCTGCTTCCCTCTTTGGTGGGTTCGTGGGTACCTATCTGAATGAGCTTAAGCCTGAGGACGTGGCACGCAAAGAGATCCCTCTCAGTGAGGTCCTGCCTGCTCCGGCAGGTGGTGTCGACACCGGAATCAGACCCCCGAGCCACCAATGGCCATTGGTCATTACAGAAAGTTCAATTGGGCCCCGGAGATCAAGGCCATTGCCATTATTCCTAACTTTGTCGTGCCGACTGCCAACGCCCGTAATGTACTCCCCGAGACATACTCGAGAGCGGATGTGGTATGTGACTGTTCAGATTCGATAACTATAAAATTTCAAGACTAATCTTCCGGCTAGGTCTTCAATCTCCAGCGCGCGGCACTCCTCCCAGCAGCCTTGGGAAGCTCCCCACCAGATCCTGATATGATCTTCCTTGCTATGCAGGATAAGGTGCACCAGCCGTATCGCAAGACGCTGATTCCAGGCTTGACTGAGATTCTCCAATTCATGACCCCTGCCACTCAACCTGGTCTACTAGGAATCTGTCTCTCCGGTGCAGGACCTACCATCCTGGCACTGGCCACGGATCGCTTCACCGAGATTGCTGACCGCATTATCGCACAGTTCGCTTCCAATGATATCTCGTGCCAATGGAAGCTGCTAGAGCCCGCTCAGGATGGCGCAACTGTTACTTATAACTAAGAGCCGGGGCCTTGCGTGTCGTCATAACACGATTGCTACCTGCGAGTCAGCGGTCCGCTGTGCTTGACGGACAAGCACGTGTCGGCAGCATTGGAATTGAGACCCGAGGGGAACTCGTATCTGGCTGGATATGGGAATATTTTTTTCCCTAACCACCACCACCACATGGGTCATGCAAGATCTCGTTTTCACCGCTTCTTGCTCTCGCATTGCAGGGTGCATGTGAGCCTTCCAACACGGGAACTTGGGTCCAGGTTACCTTTGGACTTGCAAGGTCTTGTACAAACTCCAGGTACACGATCCCAGGCCGAGTTTTTCGAGGCCAGTTTCCCAACAATCCTCTTAACTCGGGTGATCTGGTTTTCTTTTTTTAGGTTCTAGAGATAGATGGCAGATGACATGGAATGAAATCACGATCAACCACGATATAATTTCAATATTGGATCAGCTTTTCAAGGAATGACCCAGCCGAGCACATATACAATCCCTTGTGGACGTGTGCCGTGTACAACATTGTATAACATTAGGTACAACATACAATGTAGAGAGAAAGGCGGTCCAACGTGGCAGAAGGCAAATGACACCATTGCGATAAGCCGCCCGTCATCGATCAAGGGACGCTTGAACCCAGCGTGTTGACCTCGTATCTGATTAAATTGCTCCAATCATGGATGAATTACTCGCACCTATTCAGGATGCCCTTGAAGGCAATATCGTACGCCCCGCCGCATCGTCTGCATTCAATGACCTTGCTCCGCATGTCTGGATGATTCAAGCTAACAAGATCTCGATAACAGGATTTCCACGGCCAACGTCTAGCCGAGTTACTATCCACCATCTTGCTTGTTATCTCAGGGGTATGTTGCACGAATATTGAGCCTTGTATTACCGGGGCTAACGGTGATTGTATCTGCTCTAGGTCGCCAGCTTCCTCATTGGATATATCTACAAGGACATCCACCTTACGTTATGGACTGGTTTAGCGGGCACACTGTTCACAGCTTTCGTCGTTGTCCCGCCGTGGCCGATATACAACCGTAATCCGGAGAAGTGGCTGGGCTCACCAAGCGCGAGAGCAACTCCGGGTATAACCGTGGACGGGGTAAAGGTGCAATAAGCTATTGAGAAATTGTCAAGCGTAATAATCATTGGAAGCATTTGGGTAGCACTTTATTGTCTGCTACGGAATATGAGAATGGGAAGCCATGGAGCTGGCTCGGTTTATCAATCGTTCAAACGCCCGCCAATCCCTAGGTCGTGATAAAGGCATCTTTGAATTAAAAGAAAAGAAAAGTTCAAGTTATAGCCATTGAGCATCCAGCGTCAGCCAGGAATCGTGAATTTGTATCGTGTAGTGTCTTTAAAATCTCCGGTGCCCCCCTTTTTACCGGCCGTACTTCTGGAATTCCCAGTCTCGGTTGTCTAGCGGGCAGACCTGGCGGGTCTTTAGCCATCTCGATATACAGTGGAAGTGGAATGCGTGCTATCGAAAGGGAGTAATTAGTCTGTGATCGAATGGTCGGATGGGGTGGATGCGGGGGTCCTCACGTTGCAGATACCCCAAGCAACAGTGCACTCTTCCGTTGTTGATGATCCTTGGTTGGCCTGACATTCGATACCTGTTGTGTTGATAGGTCAGCTTGTAAACACCAAGCCAAGAGCCTTGGAGGGTGATTTCAGCATACACAGGTCCATGATGTGATTTCGGCAAATGGCACAGTTGTCGACGACGATATCCCAAGCCCACAAAGCAACGGCATTCCACTTAAAAGCAGCCAGTTAGTATCATGAGTCGCTGTGGAGAGTAGGGCCTTGTGTACCTTCTTGACCTCGAATTTCTTCTTGTCAGCATTATCGGAGCCCTTGGCCACGGCCTTGCCCTTGGAGGAGCCAGTAGCGGCTTCCTTCATCTCCACGTCTGTCATGTTGAAATTCTGGTCGGAAGTTGAATGGGTTTAATTTGAGGTGCTTGGCGCGAGACAACAAAAGCTAGCTGGGGTGGGGGGTATGGGCAGAACTGTGACTGACGTAAGTGAGGCTCCGATGTCCAGGTTCGGGCGGTGATTGAGGGCGGTGGTTGTACTCCGTAGTGTAGAGAGATTCGAGGTAGAGAAAACGATACCTTCTTGAAGTTAGAACAGGAGATGGCTCCAAAGGTACTCAATGCACAGTGCAATGCGACACTGTCCAGCAGTTGATAGTTCTGTTTGACTGGGTTGATCTATCGAAGCCGGTGGCGTCTTAGTCATCGAGATGTGATCTGAGGTCCCCTCCCCGTTTGTCTGCATTCGATGATCTTTCCCTTTAGCCAACAACAATGATTCAGTCTTCTTCTCCTTATCTTCTTTTTTCCTCTTTAGAGATGTCTCCAGTTGATCTTCGTTTCTGACTTCTGTCACGCTCTCTGTTCCATAGACAAGTTCTTTCATTAGACTGTCTATCTTTGCCTTTTGAAGCACCCGCTTGACTCAACTTGCGACTCTTTCACTTCCTGGGTTTGATACACGTCACGTTCTCTGCTTCCCCGGCGTTGCCATATTTAATATTGTCGACACCTGCTGAGCAGTGATTTGACTCATTTTGCTACAATCTCCGCATCTTCTGCCGTTTATTGCTTCGTCATAGCGTTGCCTTTTCTCTTTACCTATCTCTCTCCAGGCTGCCTATTTATTAAGCCATCCGTCGAAATGTCGACCCAATCTCCTCACCCTCCGACCCCCAAGGGTTCGCGCAACAATCGTCGCCCTCAGAAGAAGAATATGACCCCTCATGTCCCGAACCCGGCGCTCCTTTCTACTCCTCCGTCATCCCCGCCGCATAACATGACCCCCGGGATCATTCAGGTGGATTCGTTGAACAACTTCAACTCTTCCAAGAAGAAGCCTCTGCGCTCAGGCAAGAAATCGCGAGACAACAAAGCTTCACCTGCCCCGCACTCTGGATACCACAGTAATGGGTACAACAGTGGTTCCCGATACACACCAACCCACCCCGCTGTCACCTCTCCTCAGACAAAGCCGAGCGCTGCCTATGCTGGACCGACGTTCCACGCATCGCCTGCGCCATCAGCTCTACCAATGCCTAGCTTTTTCTCCAAGTCAGCTCCTGATGCCAATCTCGTCCCACCCATCGAGACCGATAGTGACGATGCGGTGGACCCCGAACCAGAGATGACTCCATCCAAGCCTCGCAACCGCAACAACCAATCCAAGCTTGAAGAGCACAAACCTTCACCTCTTGACTTCCTCTTCAAGGCTGCTGTGCAAGCCAGAGACCAGAAGTCTACGAGCAGCCCTGAGGTGAACAAGGTGCTTCAGTCTCCCCAGACCGAACCCAGGGTCTCGCGCCCCAATTCTGATGGCATGTTTGCATTTGAAATGGGAAAATCTGACCACGCTCGCAACTCACACATTGGTCCTTCTTTTGCTCCTTCTTACCAGGATCGTATGAATGCGCTGCGACCCTCGAGCACCCCTCAGTCCTCTGACATGACTGATGAGGAGCGACGGATCAAGACCGAGGAGTTGAAGCACCTGTTGCTCAACCCACCCCCCGCAGAAGCCTCCATCTTCAGCTTATGCCTCGCACGATTATGCTGGATCCTTTGGGTCCCGTCCTTCCAATGTACCTCCCTATGCTACTCCCATGCGAACCTCGTCTGGTCCTCAGTTAACCATGTCTCATGGTTCATTTTCTCCCCACCAGCTGCAACAGCAGCAGATTCCTCAGACCACTGGGCCTCCTCGCTATCCATACCCTGCCCATTCTCACTCACCCCTGCGCCGGCAAGTTGAGATCGTCCCGCCCCCTTCGATGCCTCAGTATCGTGGTCCTCCCTCAAATGGTGCCTCGAATCGAGCTTCCCCGGCGCCATATGGCAATCCGTACATGGCAGCCTCCCAGTATCAACGGAATGGCTATGCTTCGCCTCAACCAAGCCATGCATCGGCTTCATTCCAAATGCCCGTGACCTCACCATCTCCGTCCCGGGTGGTGGACACCCGCCAAATTGAGAATGATATTCGTCGGGTTTTGAAGCTTGATACCTCGGGGCCTCCGGTCACTCAGAGCTCCGCATAGCTTCGTGCGGCTCTATACTCGCCTTGTCAGATTATGATCTTCTCCTTATGATCACGTCTTTCCTCTCTTTTGGTTAAATGGCCTGTTTCTTTTGTTTTTTTTTTTTCTTTCTTACTTTTATGTTGCTTCTTTATTAAATTCAGTTTGATCTTACTTTGCTTATTTTTGCATTTTGTTCATACGGGCATCCTCGACTGGTCTGAGGTCCCTCGGTTGGTTCATTCTAGTCTTCCTTTCCCGTTATAGGGTGCTCATTGTTTCTTTCCATACGTCTCTTGCGGCAACGTTCACCATGATGATAATGCACGGCACTGGTTGCTTGGTACATTGATGAGGTGGTTATTTTATCGTCACCTTTTCTCCATCGTTCGGCGTCGTGGTTTTTCCCAAATGTGGTGGCGCGCCTGGTTTTGGCTTGGGGCATGGAGAAATGCGAACAAATGCATGTGTTTGCCGTTTTCTTTTTGACATTGTTTCTTGATGTTTCGGATCTTTCCTTCTCACGGCTTTCCTATTTTTGTTTGGTCGAAGTAGCGGTCAGCCTCGGTCACCCTTCCAAGACTGACCTAGGGCTGACCTGGCAATTCGTACCTTAGTTTATCCTCCTCGCTCGTTTCATGGGGATTGAACCTATGTATCTGACTTGTCCGCATCGGTGTGGTGTTGGAACCATCGTTCGATTTCTAATCATCACCTGTCAGATTTTGGCTCCGATTATAGAGTACAAGTAGTAGCCGTATATATGTTGGAGTGAAATCTGGCAATGTAGGCCGAGAGTGCACTATAATTGTGCAAAGAATACGGAATACATAACTATATATTTCCTCAAAGAAGCCCGAGAATATAAAGAGACAAATAATGAAACCAAGTTGATGTGTCAATGGTACAATATCCAGTCCTCAAGTTTCTTTTGCCTGAATCTTTCTTTCACATGATAGGCGCAGGATATTTTTTAACCTCTAGCCTTGACAGTCTTCCAAGGCTCTGAGACAGTGTACTAGACAGACTACTACCATGGAGTACTTGAAACTGCCTCTGTGATAATCATCATCTGCTATCAATGCTATCACTCAACTCGGCAGTTGTTTCCGGGTCGCAAAAAACACATGTGCTTCAATTGAACAATAAAATTTTGTATGAAGGATGCGAAGTTGTAGTAGTACAACCACATTGTCTTAGTGTTGGGGTGGAAAATAGCAGCAAGGAAATTCAATGTATTTCGTAGCTCGTTTCTTCTGATTTATCTTTCTTATTGTCCTGGCTTCAAACATCTCGTACACACTGGGTCTCAATGGACTGTCCTAGCCTAGCACTTCCACACGATCAGAATGAATCGACATGATTGTCACTTAGCGCACCACATACATATACTTTCGATTCCAACAACACATTCTTCCAATCGGATGTTCCGACATCTTTTTCAATCTAATATGCATTGATATTCCTATGAGGCATTTGAATCCTACTTCTTTCTTATACAATACAGCCCGCTCTGCTACTTACAGACATATCAGGTTAATACTATAAATCCGCTATACCGCGGCCGACCTAATCACAAGCCCACCGGCACCCCTAGATGCCAACCTCGCGGGCGTCACTGATACCTTGGATATCCCTATCCCGGATCTATTAACTGTTCAACCCGAGCTAGCATGATTAGAGAAGATGGTCAAGAACTCCACCGGCGTGGCCGTGGCATCTAGCAGCGACCGTTTCAAGGGCCTACATGGCCCTACAACGTAGTAAGATAATTTGAAAGTGGGCATAGATGTCGCGAAGAAATAAGCCAAGGAATCTTTTCACTTGAGGTAAGAAGACTCTATAGGAGATGGTATATGTTTTTAATTGCGTGACTTCTCAGAGTGGTTATGCTACCAAAATGCGTACTATGCGGTAAGACTTCATCTCGTAACACTACGTATTAATCACTCAATACCTCATTTTACTACTAAATCTAAATCACTAGTGTTGCTATGCGAAAAGTCGATGAGAAGCAAGTGGATGCGAGATTGAAATGGCTATACTTGAAAAGGACAATGGTCACGTAGACGATGCCCGCATGGGCCTCGCCGAATTCGGCATAGCGCCGGGATCAGTTTAAAGCCTCAGGTGCCTGGTTGCCAAGCTGCCAAGACCTTAGTTGCCAAGACTAGTGCCCTCGCGTATTGTACACCCATTTTATATATTGTCTTACTTGGCCCCCAATGCGGAGATAAGACACAATTTGAAACAGATATGAAATGGTCCGACAGGCTCTAGAACAAGCGCTAATACAGGCCCTAATACAGATCAAAATCCATTGAAAACTGCTTTGAAGCCTTAGCGCGCTATCTCTTAGGCTGATCAGTCACCATGACATCCATCCCCCCATCCCGAGCACTCTATGGGCTGGATACATCCCGAGAGAATTTAGCAGCCATTCAAGGCAAAAGCGTACCCGATGATCCCACGAGCCAACCGTCTCGGTTGTGCGTGGTCCGTGGAATCCGCACTCACGATGGCTTCGCGCAGGAACTGTATGGACATCTTCCTGAATTTACTCGCGCCTTGAATGCGCGCGCGATAATGAGCAATCGAATCCCAAACATGGAATCGCCAGAAGATTTTCCTTACTGTTTCTGGCATCCAGATATCCCAACGGAGCAGACTCTCCGTGACCTGCTAGAGCGATACCCTGGGAACGACCTACTGCGGTTTCAGGTCGGGCGCGCATGCGCCGCAGGAGGTTACACCTCACTCTACCTGGAGCTAGAACTGTTGCCGGACGTGGCGATTGCGGAAGAAGCACGCGACAATCGGACGTCCGGTCGAGCAATCTACGAGAGCATCATCGACAGCCCGATCAGGTGGAACTGTATGGATGACTACAACCGCTGTCTACATGCTCCCCTACGTGCTGGAGCCCATTTGAACGGCGATACGTGTGTGCGGTCTATGCTTGATAAAACCCTACCAGTGGGGGACAGCATCTTTCTTGTTGTGCCATGCCCTATGTTTGATATAACGGAGGACTGGTGTCTTGACGTCGAAGGCACATTACCCGGCGCGCGACCAGTTGATCCAGAAACTGTCCGGCTATTGTGCGAACCACTCCCCGCTGATCTGCCCACTGTTGATAAGGATTTATTGATCCTGATGGCAGCGTGGTCGGGCAACATCGACCGCTACGCACGGTTGCGTCGGCCAACCATGATTCGTGGCGAGCTGCCATGTATTGTTCGAGGCATCTACCACCACCCCTTCTTCGCCAAATGGTGGTTGAAACAAGAAACTTCGTTGCAGTCTATTCGACAGGCCATACATGCCCGATTGATTTTAAACAACGACTTGTCCTGGTTGAATGACAAGACGCCAGATACCGATCTTCCGGTTCTAATATGGTTCCCAAAGGTTGCACACAAGGCTACCTACACCGAGTTGGCACGCCTCCGACCATCGATGACGCCGCAGATTGCCCGCGCTTGTATAAAGGCCAATTATCAGGAGCTGTATGACAGTCTAGATGTCACCCCGGATATATTCATTTGGCGGGCTGCTGAGGAATCTAGTAACAGCCACTATCTCGAGCAAGTTGAACAGAAAGCAATGGAGCTAGGACTTGATCAGGCTGAGCTCTCTGTGACGGATGTGTCAGATCCAGAGTTTGCATACATATGGCCACAAAGACCCGACGTGACGGATACATGGCCTATGGCTGTGCTAACCCAGGAGATTCATAGTACCGTGCCTCGGGATCTCACCCTTGTGCGTGAGATAACTATCGACCAGATTGGATTCGAGCCTGAAGGCGATACTATGCCTTCTGTAGTGGAGCGAATCCTGCTAAATGTGTGCTTGGCGGATCCGTCGATACGTCCGTCGGCCCCCTTCGAAATGTTACATCTTGGCGAGGTGTATTTGGATGCACCATATGTGGAATCGGAGGAAGACCGTAAAATGGTGGGGTTGCGGCCAAATCCAAGGAGACCTCGTGCTGGATACCGAGGAAGGGGCCGAGGACGGAGAGGTTAGGGCTCTTACAATTCGAAGTATTAGATACCACGAATTTACAATGTATTTTTCAGTACGCCGTACTCCGTATAGAACAATGCAATTGAAATTCCTGTGGAGTAAAAAAAGACTAGCACAACACTAGCGCCACGCTAATCGGATCACCCCGACTTCAATTTCCACCGATGGAACCTTGCCATTTGTTCAATCTCCTGGCCGACAACTAACAACCCCCGTAGGTAGCACGACTTTCAGCTACCTTGGCTTCCTTAAGCGCATTCCAATGAGAGGCGCGTTTTTCCCCCTCTACCGGCTGCGTATGGTATGCTTTCACCCAGAGATCAATCTTCTTTGCTAGATCTTCCACGTTCGGGTTCTGTTTCACGGTTTCCTCGAGATCGAACTCCCTCGCCTTAGGCTCAGACTGCAGTATGAGATCCCACGTCACAAACTTGACATCCTTGAATTGAGACTCCATCGCCGGCATCCGGTATTTCTCGTAGTCGATTTTGCGCGACAGCACCACCATTTGAATTGCCCGTGTCGCCTTCAGTATGTGAGCATTGCTCGGGCCCAGCATGCTCTCTTGTTTCATATCCCACACCACTGCTGCAGCTTTCTGTAACAGGGTTGTATAGGAAGCTCCAACCATGATTCTGCCAGCCCAGGGCCACCTCGGTTTCATCAGGGATTTTCCATTTTTTCCGCGGAGGAGCGTGTTTGCCATCTTGTCAACATCGGGAGTTAGACTGTCTGTGATGGAGGGGATTGCGCCTCGATCCGCGTCGACTTCCCGGTTTGTGACCTCGATGAACTCATTGAACAGCAGTGTCTTTTCACGTCCGCTTCCGTAATCATACGGGCAGATGGTGAGTGCATCCAGATTGCCGTATGTTTTCATCAGGCCATCAATTTGCGCCTGGTAGGCGTACCAGATAAACATGCGTTCGTAGGCGCCGCGAATACCGCCCGCAAAGACGGTACTCACAATAGTGAGAAGACTGAGAACGAATGAAAGTTTCATTTTGATTTTTTTTTTGTAATGGAACAAGGTAGCGTCTGTTAAATCCTTTATCTATATACTGCTCGGGGAACGGGATGAAATATGTCTTAATGTCTTCATGTTGGTAACCCCCAAAGTAGGCTACCATTACAGCCACTAGTATAGAAGTAGATAACTCCGTGTGTGGCGCCTTTTATAGCCCCCAAAACTTGCAAAAACTTTGCGGAAAACACGAGACAGTGTGCCAAGATGATAAAGACGTTACTTTCGAAGCTCGGGTTATATTAACACATGGCTAATGAGCATGATTAGAGGGTTTGATAGGTCTCTAGCCAGGCTGGACCCGTACACTACATTTACAAAGTGGATATAGGATGTGATGAAGAGACCGGAATACGGCGGAATACGGTGACAAGGAGAAATGGTGGAATAATAAAATGGTACAGATATAATCAGATACTAGTAGTTCAGGGGTGTTGCGAAGGAAAAGGAGTATATAATGGTGGGTCTGACCAGGATGAACTGCTTGTAGGAATCACCTAGATTCGGAGATTTCACCATGGCGAGAATTAAATCTCCTTTCTTTTGGTTGCTGTGGGTGTTTCAAGCCTTTGCCCTCGTTGCAACACACCCTCACAACCATGCCCACCACGCCCACCATCGGTTCTTTCAAAACCACACTACCATTTCGCAAAGAGATAATAAAGTACCACTGCGGATTCTGCCGCTCGGGGCCTCCATTACCTGGGGCCTTCTATCAGCCAGCGGCAATGGATACCGCAAGCCTCTGCGTGATGCTTTACGGTCCGATGGCTGGGAGGTAGACATGGTGGGCACCAAGACGAACGGTAACATGTTTGACAATGTAAATACACATTTCCGGCGTCTTTGTGTACTCTTACCGTCATTGATATACTAATACTTAATCACAGGAGGTTGAAGCCCATTCGGGTGATACCATTGATCAAGTCAAAGCGGCTGCGCAAGGGTCTCTGAATTATCGTCCTAACGTAGTGCTCATCAACGCCGGGACAAACGATTGCCGTCTCAAGATTGACATAGTAAACACGGGACAGCGCATGAGATCTTTAATCAACAGTCTGCTCGCTGGTGATGGCATGGAAAAAACGACAATCATCTTATCAACCCTCATACCCTCGACGGAGGGCAACACAGCCACTTACCGCCCTACTGTCAATATGCAGTTCCGTCAACTCGTCCGCGAAATGCAAGATGACGGGGTCTCCATCGTCCTTGCCGATATGGATCCAGAGTACCCTTCCAATGGAAATGGGTGGATAGCGTTCCCTGGCGACTTCGACCACAATGGCGTCGTCGACAGCACGCACCCTAATGAGCAAGGGTATGCCAAGATGGCATATGTATGGTACAAGGCTATTCAGGAAGCTGACAAAAAGGGATTTTTGAAGACACCGAATGAAATGGATAGTACAGGTGGATCCTGTGAGAAGCAGTATGGAGACGGGGTGTCAGCTGGAGGGCTGACACAAAGAGGCAGTGGAGAGGATGATGGTATATACTATCATTCTAGCGAGTCCAAAGGAAAGGTCTTGTCAATCATTAGCGATTATGATCGTGACCAATGGTTCTTCGCGCGGTTGTTTCGACGTGACCGGGATGATCTGCTCGGTTGGTTTCAACAGGATGACGGCTCTGTCGCGTATGGCACTTGGAGGAATACAGGAAAGGAATCAGAAATGTTTGTCAAGATTGCCGATACGACAGTGGACGACAATTGCATCCAACCCGGTGTTAATTTCATTGATATTAATGGTATGTATATCCCATCTCTATCGCGTGGGAATATTGACACTGCATGGGATGTGAGAGGCTGACAAGTTACAACACAGCCGATGGCTTAGATGATTTTGTCTGCATTGGAAAGGATGGCACGGCCTATGCCTCGATCAACCAGGGTGATGGTACAAACTCCAAGCCCCCAACTTTTAAATCCATTGGCAAAATCAAAGAACCTGAAGGCTATCCTCAAGCACGAGTCCGGTTAGCTGATATTGACGGCGACGGACGTGCCGACTACTGCGTGATAGCAGACAACGGTGACACTACCTGCTGGCGCAATGGGTGGATTGACGATGTACCTAAATACTGGCAGGCACTGGGGAAGCGATTTACTGGAAAGGGCTTTGGGGATGTCAATGGTGTGCGGTTTGAGGACATTAACGGCGACGGGCGCGATGACTGGCTCTGGCTTGATGATGTGGGCCAGACTACAACCTACACCAATTCACGCAGCTGTCAAAAGGGCAAGGAAGGAGATGGCCTGAACGTCGCGTGGCGTCAGGGCTTCGCTAAGGGAGCTAGCTCTGGCCCGACGCATTTCGGAATGAGCGGCTATGGGGATGAAGGACTGCGCAAGCGCGTTCATTTTGCCCGTGTATATGGAGAGCCCCAGGACTTTGGCCTCCTTGGAAGACAGGACTACGTGTTCATGGAACATGTCAAGGAAGATGATAAGCATCGGTTTAACATGCGTGTGTGGAAGAACACCGGTCACGGATCCACCAAGCTCCGCGCCGATGGCAACGCTTACTGCAACATGCTTGGACATTCCAATGGAATGATGGACTATGTATGGATCCTGTCGAAGGGAGACATGCACATTTATGAGAATCAGGGAATGACGACAGTCGAGGATGATGGCCCAGGCTTCTGGGGCGCCAACTATATGATATTTGACCCGTCTACGCAAGCAATTGGAAAGGATTTAGACCGTCGTGATCTACATCTCACTGATTGGGATGGCGATGGAGCCTGTGACATTGTATGGACAGATCCTGACAATGACAACCGCGTCAAGCTGTGGCGCAACCGTATCAAAGAGACAGGGCACTTTGATTGGGAATACCATTCTGACCCGGCCCCAGATCTCCACTGCCCTGAGAAACGTGGAATTGGACTTTTTGATCGCCCAGTTCAATTTGCCGATATTTCAGGCAACGGCAAAGGCGATTACATCTGTTTGGAGAAGGATGGCCGATCATGGGGATATGTGCACAACGAGGTTGGAACCTGGGATCTCGTTGACCAGTACAAATTCTCCGAAGGAAAAGACCGGGCCAATCTTCAATGGGCAGATGTGGATGGCGACGGCAAAGCGGACATGATCCACACGAATAAGTTCAATGGCGACGGTACTGTATGGCTGAACAAAGGCCGCAAGGATATCGGTAACTCGCGGTACGAGTGGGACCCTGTTGGGGTGAAATATCAGGGTGCAGTTGCCGGATCTTGCACTTACTTCCCCGACCTTGACGGAAATGGCCGCGCAGACATGCATTCAATCCTTTATACGTGGTACAATACCGCCAAAACGTGGTTCAGCCGTTGTGGTCGTCCCAACAGGGTTGGCGATGACGGCGTTGTTTCAGACCCGCATCTCCCTATAATGCCCGATGGAGAGGATGATATCGGCGATGGCAATGATGTAGATGACGATGAGGATACTGACGGCCTCGACGACGATGTGTTTCATTGTACAAACACCTACAAAACGATCGACGATATCTCTGACGACATTGGATATCGGTGTGGACCAATTTTCCTACTGGAGACAATGCAAACGATGCTTGAGGATGATATCAAGAATTACACTGAGCTTCTAGCTGACGGCTACGACAAAAAATTCAAAACATACTCCAAGGCTGTGGTGGAAGGAGCCCCAACTATCATCCATGACTTCTATATGGACCATGGCATTGATTACTTCACATGCATTGTGGCAGAATGGCAACCGATGTGCGCTAAATGCGGATTGCAATATGGCAAAACAAGCCCTGTGTGTCGTTATTGTGTGATTTTTGAAGATGATATTGGATTTTTGAACGTTTCGGAGCCGTGTCCACCGGATACTTCCTTGCGCGCAAGCACCAAGGAACGACCCTTTCATCAGACCACTTACTGGAGCTTCCAAAATGAAGGCAAGGAAGATCAGTTCTACGCGGATGTGCTGGCGGAGACGGGCATACCCCGTGGGCGGACGTATTTAGGCATGTATGATCACCAAAGCAACAAACAGGATTGCCATGATTACCCACGCTGCTACCAATACGGATGGGAAATCGGTGTGCCTATGATCAGCAACGGGTACACTGTCGATGATGTGGTCGATCCCAAGGAAACTATCTCCGAATTATTGGGCAAAACAAAGGACTTGCGCAAGGGCCTCGAAATGGCCATCATATCACAGCGCATTGATGCACGCCGTAGCTGGACTGGGTCGGATATGGTCGATGCCGTCTCAGTGCCCATCTTGATGATTCACCAAGCCATTGCGTCAATGCAACAAGTTGTCGACACTGCGGAAGAAATTGACAGAGAAAACCGCAAGCGCCAGATTCTGCTCTTTCTCTCAGCGTTCCTCTTCCTCATTCCCATCGGTGGTGAAGTCATCGGCGCGATTAGTGGACTTGCTAGTATCGGGCGATTTATCGCCCTAGCTGGTGAAGCCGCTCTGGTCGGTATCGATATCTATTCTGTCGTTGATGATCCTTCCTCTGCCCCCTTTGTTATTTTCAGTTATATCCTCAGCGCAGGGGCTCTTAACGATGCCGTCAAGGTCAACAAGGCTGCGAAGGCAAAACGTGGGATGGGCGCAAAGGACTTGGCGAAGCTTGGAGCAGACTTTGAGAGAGGGATGACCAAAATTGATACGATCATGAGGGCGTGCAAGGCGTGAATTGACAAGGCATGATGTTGTTCATTCGATGTTGCCAGTGGTTTTGTGAAATATTTTGATATACTAGCACTGAGCAGTGTCTCTAATTCTTCCACCACATCGACTGGAGTCCTTATCCACATTAGATGTTTGGATTACCCAAGTCCTTCATTTTTAGGTGTAGAGGCCATATAGGTGCTGGCTCTAAATCTATCCTGTCGATCAGTGTATATAAACAGATGCAGTTCAAGTACTTCATCGTAGTACATGACCTCATAATTTTCGTATCTCATCTTGATATAGAAGGGATGCTGTAAATGTACTCCTACCCAACTAGGTACCTGAACGCCAAGACTCCGATTTCACCAAGCCCTGAACAAGCCACACCGTTTAAACGATTCAACATTGGCAGGTTTTAGAATTGTAGTGTGGAGTCTAGCCTATCAGAATCTGCTGATCTTAATATTCCCGTCTTTTTTCTGTTTAGGCTTACAATATCAGTGTTCCAGTAATAAGGATCTACATGGAATAGTTTGGTTCGCAGCTTAATATGTAGGCCTATGTATGTTAACGGACCCCGTCTGTACGTATATTAATTTCTATTTTTGTTGGAAACGTGGACTTTCCCCTTATTGTTGACCCTAACGACTCCTATTCGTCCGCAGGCGTTTCCCCGAGATCCACTCAGCTTCGGCCTAATTTTATATCGCGCCCTTGGCCGTTCTTGGGGAAAAAGGGAACGCCACTCCATCTCCTATTTATGGGTTCCTAGTCGGTATACTCCGTCCATGTATGTTGTATATTTCTTTTGCCTGTGTACCTTGCCCATAGACGGCAGCTAGGGTTCAGCTCATGGATCGTTGGAAGCTGAACTGCTTTCGGCCTAGGGGTGTGGGAGAATGGGATTCAAATACGTCTGCCCACGTGTGGTGATGGCCTGGAAGAAATGATGTATTGACTGAATGCAGTACATACTGCAATACACATACTTGGCAAAATGCTCCATTGCTGATTCGCATTCAAAAGCTTATGATGAGTTATCGACATCATATCAAAGGGATCTACATACCAGACGTCGAGAGCTGGATGCGGCCAGGGGTTAAATAGAATATCATAACAATCGAAGCATCGAACCTCTTTCGATTTTAGATGAAAAACGTTTGGAGTATATTAAATTGCAAGTCTTCAAAAGTCTTGTGCAAAAGAAAAATAAAGAGCCATATATTTTCCCCCCTCCACCTTTTCTCCTTCCTTACCTAATTCTGGATCTTGGGACTTTCAAGGTTGCCCCTACCAACAACTTCACGTCTTGACATCTTCAACTTCTTTCTTCACTTTTCCCCTGGATTTTGAATATTCTTGTTTTGACTATCCCCGCGTCGGGACACGTTTTTCCCTCTCCAATGATCGATTTCGCGATTCGTTAAACCCCCTGCGCCCGTTTTTTTCCCCTACTGTGACACCATGGCGAATATGTTAGTCTACCTCTGGATCTGAAGATAAGATCCATGTCCGCTGACGTGATATAGGTTGAGTTCGACATGGCGTTCCTTTTGGCATACTATGACCTCCTATGACCGTCATGCCTCCCACGACTCCCCCTACCGTACTGGGAGACACGTCCCTCTCAGCCAAAGTCGCCACGAGCCGCTCACATCTGTCGCAACCAGCGCAATCGAATCTCGCCCAGACCTCTCCAACCCTTACGATGACGAGCCCACAAAAGGATCTGCAAGTGCACAAGCATCCGAATGGAACGGCTCCCCCGACGACTTGGGCTCTCCCACCCATCCCTACTCACCAGGGATGAGATCGGCCGCATCTCAAAAGAGACGATCAAACGACCAAGCTGAGGGCACACCAGAGATTCAGATGCAAAGCTTCCACGATGGAGCGCCACCGCCGCCGCCGGTCGCTCACTCCTGGAGGAAGATTGAACGCTGGTTAGAACACAATTATGAGGAACTCCTTGACCAGCTCGGCGAGGGATGTACCCAGAACGATATTAACGAATTGGAGCACGAACTCGACTGCAGTCTTCCATTAGAGGTACGGGAATCTTTGATGTTCCATGATGGTCAAGAACGTGGCGGCCAACCCACCGGTGTCATTTTCAGCGCCATGCTGCTCGACTGCGAGGAGATCGTTCAGGAATGGACGAACTGGAAAAAGGTCAACGATGAATATCTCAGCAACGCAAGTATGATGCAAAACCCGCCCGCATCCAGCTCTGCGGCAAGCTCCTCCGCGGCTGGTCCGTCTCAGCAGCCCTCGTCCGCAATGTGGCAATCAGAGCTGCTCGCTCGTCAGGACTCCCAGCCTCCCGGTGCAGTACAGAAGGCGTACGCACACCCCGCTTGGATTCCCCTTGCCCGTGATTGGGGCGGCAACAACCTTGCTATTGATCTGGCACCTGGCCCCACTGGGAAATGGGGCCAGGTGATCATTTTCGGCCGGGATTACGATTGCAAATATGTCGTTGCCAGATCATGGGCTGCGTTCCTCGCGATTTTCGCCGAAGATTTGTGTAGTGGCCACGCCATTGTAAATGAGGAGACGGACGAGCTAAAGCTCAAACAATTCAAGACCCAAAACGTGGAGCCCCCATACCTGGATATTCTGCGCTGGAGGGCGGATCAGAAGTACGGTCGTCGTGCACCTCGCCGGAAGGGCCCCGTACCCAATGGTCTTGGTGTGAACGGTTCAGGCAACCGGTCCAGCAGTCGCGAGTCCCCCTACGGTAGCCCCACGCGCACCGAAGAACGAGGCCGCTCACCACACCGTTTCTCCAAGGGTGGAAATGCCCAGAGCCCCAAGACGCCATTCGGCGTGTCCAGTCCTCTTGCACGCGTGACTGAGGAGACAACAAGTCCCATTGTCACTGCAGGATCTACGATCTCTGAAGACAGCAAGGAAAACGGCAAGGAGTCTCAGACCGAAGATCTTATGGAGGTGGTAACCCCGCAAATCTCTAACAAGGAGAATGAAGGCTTCCCCAAGCCCAATGAACTTAAGGAATCCGATAAGGCTGAGAAGGTTGAGAAGGCCGATAGAACCGATTCCGCGGAGTCCTCATCCACCATTGAGTCAGAGGTTCTCGGCGAAATGAAGAACGTGGCTATTTAGAATACGCCTTGCTTCTTGAGTCCGGGCAGTCCAGTTTTCTCTTGAATCTCGGGTTTTGAAGGGCATCCGGCGTCACTGTGGAACTTATGGATGTGCGTGAACGTTCTGCTTCTGCTTCTGCTTCTACTTTTGCTTGTATAGAATTCCCCCCTGTTCTTCTTCTAGCCTCAGTTTCATGGCATTTGTTGTAACTCTAGGGTGCTTTTTTGCTCTGCTAGTGCGTTTGTTTCCTTTCGTTCTTGTTTTCCTTTGCCGTCGAGATGGCTCTGTGTTTACGGTCTCCCATATTTTTTTGCCTGTAATTCTATGATGACAGTCTTGCCTTTTTCTTTCGTGTCTGGCTACAATCCCATTTACTTTGATCCTTCAATTTCCAACATCAAGTTGCCCATGACTTCCCAAACCACACGGATAGTCTACTTCAGAGCTTGATTAAGCCTTAGAATCTGGATATATGGCAGATATATGGCATGGGTATGCCCGTAAACATGCAAATAGAACATCACTATAGGTCATCAATCCGTTAATATACAGAAATCCCGAATCAATATCCTAGTACCCTGGGTATCAACTTCAAGAAACAGGATCATTACTCCCAATCATCATCGTCATCATCACCACGATTTCTCACGTTGGCATTAGAATCCCGAATCCCACGTCTCCCCTTCTTCCTCCCAAATCCTCTCCTGCCATCACCATCATCACTGTCCTCTTCCTCCCTCATATCATCATCCTCGTCCCCAGCCCCAATCTTCACCGCCAAAAGAATTCCCTTATAGACCAACCTCTTCTCCAAAACCCTCACATCAAACCCCTCAACTCCATCAAATCCCCTAGCATCAAGTCCCTCAAATCCAACCACCCGATCAAGCCCAACCCCATCTTTAAACCCAATGACACAAGGCAAAACCTTAATCCCAAGTTTTTGCGCAATAAAAGGCGTGTTACGCACATCCACCCGCGCAAACGAGACCTCGTAGTGCACATTCGCCAACTCTCCAAGCTTCATATCCATGACCGCGCACCGCGCAAAATCAGGATGCGCAAAATGCACCAGGCATCTGCTCGTGCGCGTCGTGAAATCCAGCACGGACTGATCGGACGAGAGTGTCGGGTAGACTTCGTTTTGGATGAGGCCTGTGGTGCCGCTTGTTGCGCGTGCGGAGTGATTGTTTTTTGTGGCTGCCAGCTCGGCATTTAGTTGGTGAATGCGTTGGTCGCGGTAGAGGGTGTCATCTTCGTTTTCGAGTGCGGCGAAAAGGGCTTCGTCGTCTGAGTCTGGCATTTTGGGGATGCGCGGGGGTGGATTTGACGGTCTGTTATTTCGGGGTTGTGTTTTTCTCTGGTGGGCTTGGAATGAATAGTTTGGTTGGTTTGATTTTCGAATCCAATATCCCAATCTAAAGGTGTGAAATGGGATTTTCGGGGGAGTGTGTGGTTAGGAGGGTTGATGTTGGAAGATCGGGAGCTCCACTAGTATATATGGGTTCGGTACGGGATAGTCTATGCGTGGACAGTTTTATATCTTTGCTTTGGGGGTTTTCATAGTCTAAAATTTGGGAATAAGGTATGTATTTCTATAGTTTTTGTTCTTTTAGTTAGTGTATCAATTTGACATATTCTCTAGCCTCACGGAACCTTCGAAAGATCCATGCTGTGCCATAGCTATACTACGTATGTACTCATTGACACAATTACAGACACATAACTGTCAACTATATATACAGTAAATCTGGTTGATCTCAATTGATTATTCTTTCAAGCCCTATCCAACAATATTTGACCACTGTATGGTGTACAATAGATGTTTCACTCTATAAATAAAATCCTGAGTCAGCACCCCTTAACGCTCTGCTTAGGTAACAACGTGTCTGTTTCCGGCCGCGAAATCTGTT